CGGTTATTTTAATTCAGTTACTAAGAATAAACTTTAATGATGAGCCATAAAATGAATGTTGAAAGCTCTGCTAATCAGGAGTGTATAGTACTCCAAACAGTATCTGTGTCCACAGACACAGTGTGAACGTCTGGAGTTTCAAGCAGTTAAGCAACTCGCAGGCCTCACAAAACACCAAAATCAAGACCAACATGATGTCAGCTCCCTGCAGTTCTAATGCCACGGGACAACATTGCTAGTCTCCAAGGTCAGATGGCAGGTGTTATGCGTGGTGGGTCACTGTGGAGCAACAAACTCTAAACTTCAGCAGGCAATTCTATAGACTTAGGCAGAAGCCTGCGACTCCATCGTAAAGTGGAGCAGGTTGTAGGGAGTTCAGAGAAAGGAGGGGAGATGGAAAGCCCTAGTCTCAACTGAACTAGGGACATGGATGAGAAACACCCTTGTGAGACTCTCCCACAAAATAGGGAAGTCCTGCGGGCAAGGTCCTCCCTGTGCTGAACGGGAAGCTCCCTGGCATGGCCTTCTGTGTTCCCACCACCAGCGTGTCGGTTGTAAGCCTGACGTGCCGTCTGGAAAAACCTGCCGAATAAGACGACATCAGGAAGGTGGTGAAGCAGGCATCGGAGGGCCGGTCAAGGGCATCTTGGGCTACACTGAGCGCCAAGTCGTCTCCTTGGACTTTAACAGGGACGCCCACTCTTTCACCTTCGATGCCGGAGCTGGCACTGCCCTCAATGACCACTTGCTTTGTCAAGCACATTTCCTGATACAGTGAATTTGGTTATAGTAACAGGTTGATGGACCCCATTGCCCACATGGCCTCCGAGGAGTAAGACCCCTGGACCACCAGCCCCAGCGAGAGCATGAGAGCCAGAGAGAGGCCCTCACTCAGCCCCACCGCACTGAGAATCTCCCCTCCTCACAGTTCCCACGCAGACTCCCCGGAGAGGGAGGTGCCTAGGGAGTCCCACCTCGTCGTGTACCATCAAGAAAGCCCCCTGTGCTCAGCCAAAAAAGAAAAAAGATAGGGAAGGTTTGCTCCCAGGAAAATCACAGGGCATTCTGCCAGGTCTCAAGGTAGATGGCAGCCAGGCCTCGCCTACATGGCTATGTGGAGGTGGCCAAGGTTGTCAGGGAGCTCGGCAGCTCGGCGTGCTGTTTTATGAAAACAGGGAAATTTGAAAGAGTTTTAATCCTTCCTTTTTGTCCCCTTCCTCCCTTTCTTCCTCCCCCTTTCCCACAGGTACAATATTCATTGAATTCTAAGTGTTGTGGATAAAGCAGTGAGCCAGAGTTCTAAAGGAGAGAAACAGTAAACAAAGAATGTGAAAGATAGAAGTTGTCAGATGATTCAAAGCACTACAGAAGAAAAGCAGGGGAGGCCAGGTACAGTGGCTCATGCCTGTAATCCCAGCATTTTGGGAGGCTGAGGCAGGTGGATCACTTGAGGTCAGGTGTTCAAGACCAGCCTGGCTAACATGGTGAAACCCCGTCTCTACTAAAAATACAAAAATTAGCTAGGCGTGGTGGCGCACACCTGTAGAACCAGCCACTCTGGAGGCTGAGGCAGGAGAATCGCTTGAACCTAGGAGGTGGAGGTTGCAGCCAGCTGAGATCCTGCCACTGCACTCCAGCTTGGGTGATAGAGTGAGACTTTGTGTCAGAAACGACGACAAAAACGAAAAAGCAGGGAAGAGAAGAAGGGTGCTGGGATGGGTGATAAAAGGCCTCCCGAGAGATGACCGATGAGCAAAGACTTGGAGGGGCAGAAGCACTGAGCCAGGCCGACCCTGGGAAGAGTTCTGAGATAGAGACGGGAGCGCAGGAGTGTGATGAGCCTGTTAGAACAGCAAAAGGGCCAAGTGGAGCTGGTGAGAATAACAGAAGGAGAGAGATGACCAGAGGCTCATAGACCAGACTAAAGCTATTTCTTGTCTCCAAGGCTTCCTGGATGTGTTGCCACATAGGCTGAGTCTTGAAGAAGGAGTTGGCTAGTTAAGAAAGTGGGAAAAGGAGCTGGGTGCAGTGGCTCATGCCTGTAGTCCTAGCACTTTAGGAGGCCAAGGCAGGTGGGTCACTTGAAGTCAGTAGTTCAAAACCAGCCTGGCCAACATGGTGAAATTCTGTCTCTACTAAAAATACAAAGCTTAGCAGGCATTGTGATGCGCACCTGTCATCCCAGCTACTCAGGAGGCTGAGGCAGCAGAATCGCTTGAACCTGGGAGGTAGAGATTGCAGTGAGCCGAGATCGCATCACTGAACTCCAGCCTGGGTGACAGAGCGAGACTCCATCTCAAAAACAAAAAATAAGAAGAAAATAAGTGGGGAAAGGGTGTTCCAGACAGTATCTACAAACCTGGAGAAAGTGAGCTTGAATTCCTTCAGTTACATGTACAGCATCCCTGCCTGTGGGAAGAAAAGCAGCAAGAGATGTGGTTGAAGAGGTCAGCAGGACCTGGGCCATCCTGGAGGACCACATGTATTATTCAGAGAAGGAGAGCTAAATTACCCATGCAGACAAGAGAGCAAAACCAACCCCACAGCCCTTACATCAACACGGTGCTGGGAATTATGGATCAGATTGGGGGTTGTGTCTTTTTTTCCAGGTAACTGAATTTTTTAAAAAATATTTTTTTCCAGGTAACTGTTCATCTTGACAGTACTAAAGGTTCAACAAAATCCCTATCAGAATCCCAATGGATGTTTCTTTATAGACAAAGAAAAATCTATTCTGAAACTCATGCTATGGATTTTATTTTATTTTTATTTTTATTTTCTGAGACAGAGTCTCATCCTGTTGCCCAGGTTAGGGTGCAGTGGCGCCATCTTGGCTCACTGAAACCTCCCCTCCCAGGGGAAGGTTGGCTGAAGGCAGCTTCAAGCAATTCTCCCTGCCTTAGCCTCCCAAGTAGCTGGGACTACAGATGCCCACCAGCACATCCAGCTAATTTTTGTATTTTGAGTAGAGACAGAGTTTCGCCACATTGGCCTGGCTGGTTTTGAACTCCTGACCTCAAGTTATCCACTCACCTCGGCCTCCCAAAGTGCTGGGATTACAGGTGTGAGCCACTGCACCTGGCCATTTCTTGCGTCTTGAGACAAGACACTCATGGCTTGTCAATGATATGGGGAATGGCAACCCAGGAGAAGAAAATACTTTCAAAGAGGTCTTTAAAGAAGATTCTGGATTTAGAGAAGAAAGCAGAGGACAATGTAGCATCCATCCCTCACCTCTTCCATTTTTTTGTTTGTTTTTGAGATGGAGGGGCTCAAGCAATTCTCTTGCCTCAGCCTCCCGATTAGCTGGGATTACAGGTGCGCACCACGACGCCCAGCCAATTTTTTGTATTTTTAGTAGAGATGGGGTTTCACCATGTTGGCCAGGATGGTCTCGATCTCTTGACATCGTTATCCACCCACCTTGGCCTCCCAAGGTGCTGGGATTATAGGCGTGAGCCACTGTGCCCTGCTGCCTCTTCTGGTTTCTTATAGCATTGATAATGCCAGAATGTCTCAGCTGAAGATATGGACTGACAGCGCAGTATTTCCCTCTGAAACACCACGGACAGGGTTCTGCCCGGCAGCCAGGGCTAGGCTAAGAGAGGAAGCACTGGCTGTGCTGAAGCTGCTCTTGGCCTCAGTACCCCACTAGACACTTCCCATCATCCAGGACTTCAAATACAAACAACTGCCTAGTAGGTTTTTCCAGCATTTTGCTTTTTGTCCTTTACTTGGAAATGCATTGATTTCACCACGAAAATATCTGTGAGGAGAGAAAAAAAGATTTTCATGGGAAAAAATGTAGCTGTATGCAAAAACAAGCTGAAAGGTTGCTTGGTGCATTGTTGTGCGTTCCAGCTCAGTCGCTTTGCTGACATTGAGTTTCCTTTTTCTCCGCATCACCCTTCTCCACCAATGCTGCTATTCACGCCAAGCGTCGGAAATGAGCTCCCGGAAAGACCAGCCGATTTGGTTCCAGTCCTTTGGAAATGTAATAAAATGCAAGTCACAGCTGTATTCGGTGTGTCTGCAGACTTGGAGTGACATTGAGTCTGTTCCTCTGGAAAACTGGGCCAAATTGAATAGGTGTTCAGTCCTGTGCCTTTACCATAATTAAAAACGAGTGAGGCTGGTTACAGCATGTGTCCAGAATTTAGGTGTTTTTGCTTTATAAAGAGGAGAAAAGGTGCAAACCACAGGCTACTTTCACTCAGGATAACCAGCCTAGAGGCAGCATGGGGGACACGCATAAATCATCCACATTTCTAGGAATAAGGGACAGGAGAGAAGTATATATAAAGAAGGAATCCTGTGCTTTGGGAGGCCAAGGCGGGAGGATCGCTTGAAGTCAGGAGTTCAAGACCAGCCTGGGCAACTTAGCGAGACCGCCCCCCCCAGCTCTCTTAAAAAAATTTATATATGTGTTTATATTTATTTATATTTCTAATTTATAAAAGTGTTCATTTATAAAATTTTAAATATTATCATCTTATATATAAATTTTTTAGAGAAAAAAATAAAATATATATACCTAGCAAGACCCCTCACCTCTCTTAAAAAAGTATGTTTTTAATTTATGAAATTTTAATTTATAAAATTTTAAATATATATTTATATATATTTAAATTTTTTTAAATTACACATAGATTTTAAGAGAGTTGGGTGTTTCTCTAGCTATGTGTGTGTATATATATGTGTGTATATATACGTGTGTGTGTGTATATATATACATATATATACACATATATGTGTGTATACACACACACGCAAACATACATTTATTTATTTATTTATTTACTTTTAAGAAGGCATTCCAGGGGAGGCCTGTGCCCCGGGGAGACCTCTCTGGGTTTTCTGTAAAGAATCTCTTGAGAAAGAATAGAAGAGCGAGCCAAGAGCGCAGGGGAGAACTCATTTAAATTCTCTCCTCTTCGCCTTTCCAGTTGCAGCCTGGGGAACCCGGCGCGCGGTGCGGCTCACAGCCCAGCTCCGCCCCCGCGCCTGCGACCAATGGGAGGCGGCCGGGCCGGGAGCGCGACCAGTGGCGGCGGCTGGCGGAGACGCGGCCCTTTAAGAAGCGGCGGGGGCGGGAGGGGGCCGAGTGCCGGGGCGACAGCAGCTGTGCAGTCGGTTGATGCTACCATGGCCCTGCAGGTACCCGGGACGTGGGGAGGGACGCTTCGCGAGGGATTGCTCAAGTGGGGCTCGTGGTGGGCGTGGCACCCTCCCCCCTCGCCGGGAGCGCGCGGCAGTGACCCAGGGAACACGCCCGCTGCTTCCCCTAGCGCCCGCAATGACAGTGTAGACCGCACCTGTGCCTGCGGACGGCTAGCCGGGGCTCCCAGGGCAACCCTTCCCGACCCAGGGGCCGGTGAGCGACCGGGAGCGAAAAGGCAGGCTAGGCACAAGCACCTGGGAGCACGGAGCCGGCCTCCTCCGCCCTCCTCTCTCAGTCTTAGAGGAAGTCCAGATCACTGGGTCTCACCCTCCCCACCAGCCAGCCCCCTTGCTCGTTGGGACCCCCAAGACTTCTTTTAGTGTCATACTGAGCAGATCTGTGAAGCTCCGATTTAAAAATACTATTTTACTGGTATGTTAAAAAAAATTGTTAAGGGTGGAAAACTTTGGAAAAAGTAATAAAGTAAATGATCATCATCAGGAATTCCTTCACCCTGACGATAACCACTGCTGACATTGTGGGGTAATTCCCCCCGGTATGGTTTTTCCCATGTGTGTCTGTGTATGACATATGTCTACGTATATACCTATGATGTTATTGTGTGTATATATAGTAAGACACGACAGTAATAGAGGCAATTTCTCATCATTAAATGTTCTAAAATGTAACTTTTTTTTTTAGACAAGGTCTCACTCTGTCACCCAGGCTGGAGAGCAGTTGGTTGCGATCTCCACTCACTGCAACCTCCACCTCCCGGGTTCAAGCCATTCTCGTGTCTCAGCCTCCCCAGTAGCTGGGATTACAAGCACACGCCACCACACCCGTCTAATTTTTGTTTTGTTTTTTTGAGACAGAGTCTCGTTCTGTCACCAGGCTGGAGTGCGGTGGTGTGATCTCGGCTCACTGCAACCTCCGCCTCCTGGGTTCAAAAGATTCTCGTATCTCAGCCTCCTGAATAGCTGGGATTACAGGCGTGTGCCACCGCTTCTGGTTATTTTTTTCTTTTTCTTTTCTTTTTTTTTTTTTGGCTCGGAGTTTCACTCTTGTTTACCCAGGCTGGAGTGCAATGGCGCGACCTCGGTTCACCGCAACCTCCACTTCCTGGGTTCAGGCAATTCTCCTGCCTCAGCCTCCTGAGTAGCTGGGACTATAGGCACATGCCACCATGCCCAGCTAATTTTTTGTATTTTTAGTAGAGATTTTAGTTTCACCCTGTTGACCAGGATGGTCTTGATCTCTTGACCTCGTGATCCACCTGCCTCGGCCTCCCAAAGTGCTGGGATTACAGGCGTTAGCCACCGCGCCCGGGCATTTTTTCTATTTCTGGTGCAGATGGGGTTTCTTTTTCTGTTGTTGTTTGGAGATGGGGTTTTACTGGGTTAGCCACACTGGTGTCCAACTTCTCACCTCAAGTGATCCGCCCACCTTAGCCTCCCAAAGTGCTGGGATTACAGGCTTAAGCCACCGTGCCTGGCCTCTAAAATGTAATCTTTTACATGCACAAAATTTCATAGAAAGAACATGGCTCACTTCTTTAATGGTTTCAATCAGGCAAGATATTATCTTGGGTAAAAGTTATAATACATACTCCAGGGTCATCTGCGTTCAAATCTGTGCCTCACTTCTGTTTAGCCTGTGACATAGTTAATCTCTCCGTGCCTCAGTTTCTTTAGAAAAGGAGGAGAGATATATTAAATGAGTTATATATATAACACATTTAAAACAATGTCTAGCATGTGGTAAAAGTTCAATTAGGATAAGCGTGTGTGGGAACATTTAGTTTGTTTTGAGACAGGGTCTCACTCTGTCACCCAGGCTGGAGTGCAATGACTGGATCTTGGCTCACTGCAGCCTCAACCTTCTGGGCTCAGGCAATCCTGCCACTTCAGCGTCCCAAGTAGCTGGGACAACAGGCACCCACCACCACACCTGGCTAATTTCTTTTTTTTTTTCTTTTTTTGCTTTCCCCAACCAATCAGACTGATTGCAAGCCAAGTCTTCATTTGCATAGAGGTGTAACTTTGTGACTTCACTTTAGCCTCTGGTTGCCGGCCACTACTCATGTAGGATGCACTCCCGGTAACCAATGGGAAACCTCTAGAGGGTATTTAAGCCACAGAATATTCTCTTGAGCCCCTGTGCTCGGCTGGCTCCCATCCTGTGGAGTGTACTTTCACTTTCAATAAATCTCTGTTTTTGTTGCTTCATTCTTTCCTTGCTTTGTTTGTGTATTTTGTCCAATTTGTTGTTCAAAACGCCAAGAACTTGGACACCCTCCACTGGTAACAAGAATGTTTTGGAATTCATTGTGCTAGCTCTATTTAAAGCTGCATCTCACCTATGATAACTTTTTGATCCCCCTAAAGTCTGCTTGCTCATTACATCCAACAAGGATGTACTTAATAGACTCAGACCAGGCTCACGCCACCCACCAGTAGTCCGTGAGGCCCTGTGGGTGCTGCCAATGTGTTTATTGATTATTTATTTATTTATGAGTACTTGTGTAACCCCACACAGCCTTTATGTTGCGCTCTAGTAAGTTCTGTCCATATTGCTGGGAGCAGCTTTCCCTGCCCCTCTGCACCCAGCAAACACAGACCGGACTCCCTCCCAGCACAATCACCATCTCATCTCAGGGACGACTTTTTCCGTACCTTCCCCCCTGTGCTAACCTCCTCTGTGTTGCAGAGCAACTGCTGCATCTTATTTCTAGCAAGTCCCATGTGGTCCCCATTGCCCTGTTCATCTCCCACCAGGCTATGCGCCTTCAAGCAAACTGCCTTGTTCATTCCCGGCTGCCTGGCAAAGGCCTGGCCTATCGGAGTTGTTCAGTAGGTTTGCTAATTAGTATGAAATGTGAGATGGCAGAGGGCAGAGTTCATAGAACAAAATAAAAAATATTTTATATTCTTGGCCAGGTGTGAGGGCTCACACCTGTAATCCCAGCACTTTGGGAAGCCGAGGCAGGCAGATCACTTGAAGTCAAGAGTTCGAGACCAGCCTGGCCAACATGGCAAAACCCCATCTTTATTAAAAATACCAAAAAAATTAGCCAGGCGTGGTAGCTCGTGCCTAGAATCCTAGCTACTTGGGAGGCTGAGGTGGGAGGATCACTTGAACCAGGAGGCGGAGGTTGCAGTGAGCCATGATTGTGCCACTGTACTCCTGCTTGGGTAACAGAGTGAGCCTCTGTCTCAAAAACAAAAAACAAAACTATGTTTTTAATCATCCTTAACACTGGCACCTTCCCAGTGAGGCAGATATTATCTTTTTGTGGTGCAAGCTGCATCTCAGAGGAGCTTTGTTTCTTGCATGGAGTCCCAGAGTAGTGTGCCTCAAAGCTGCTAGTGAAACCTGAGTATCCTGGCCAAGGCCAGTGTTGTTTCTACTCCAGCTCATCATGGCTGCGATGGGAAAGGCCTCCTGCAGGAAGGCACATCAGAGCAGCCCCTCACGGCAGGAATGTATTGCATTGAGGTGCCAGAACCAGACCAGCTTGGCAGAGAGAATGATACTGGCCACTGCTCTAGAAGTGGGTTCCTCCCTACCTGGGGAGGGAGAAAGAGCGGGGACCCCTGAAATGGCATGGGAAACTGTGTCAGGGCTCAGCTCTTCTGTGCAGAGGGTCCAAGACTTTCATTAGATCTCTTTTCTCTCTCTCTCTTTTTTTTTTTTGGTTTGAGATGGAGTCTTGCTCTGTCACCCAGGCTGGAGTGCAGTGGCAGGATCTTGGCTCACTGCAACCTCCACTGTTGGGTCCAAGCTATTCTCCTACCTCAGCCTCCTGAGTAACTGGGATCACAGGTGTGTGCCACCACCCTCACCTAAATTCTTGATTTCACCATGTTGGCCAGGCTGGTCTTGAACTCCTGACCTCAAGTGATCCACCTGCCTCAGCCTCCCAAAATGCTAAGATTACAGGTGTGAGCCACTGCACCCAGCCTCATACGGTTTTTTAGGAAGGCTTAGAATTCTAATTAAGGCTTGGCACATAAAAGGAGTCGAGTTGCTGTCATTGGAATATAATGTGAGACTTTACAGCAAACAGAATACTTGAGATGGCCTCGAAACCTGCAGAGGAAGGTCCTCCACCCCTTCTGAATAGCCTTGCCCCAGAAGCCCTGGCCACTCATGTAGCATTTTAATTTTGTTCTTATTATAAACACAATCTGTGCACATTATAGAAAATTTGGAGAGTACAAAAAACATTTTAAAACTACGTAACTTACCAATAATCAGAGGCAATTACTATTTACATATTTTTAGTATACTTCTTTCTAGTTTGTATTTTTTCTACACAACTTACAAAGCTGAGTGTATAAAAAGAATTTGTGTTCTTTGCTCAATCATAAACTAAAACTAAAAGTATTTCTTTTTTTTTTTTTTTGAGATGGAGTCTCACACTGTTGCCCAGGCTGGAGTGCAGTGGCACAGTCTCGGCTCACTGAAGCTTCCACCTCATGGGTTCAAGTGATTCTCCTGCCTCAGCCTCCCAAGTAGCTGCAATTACAGGCACCCACCATCCTGCCCAGCTAATTTTTGTATTTGTAGTGGAGACGGGGTTTCACCATCTTGAACACGCTGGTCTCAAACTCCTGACCTTGTGATCCACCTGCCTCAGCCTCCCAAAGTGCTGGGATTACAGGTGTGAGCCGCCGCACCCAGCCAACTAAAAGTATTTCTTATGTCTTGTTTTATTGCAAGTACTTTTTAAAAATTTGAGACAGTCTTGCTCTGTCGCCCAGGCTGGAGTGCAGTGGCAGGATCTCGGTTCACTGCAACCTCCGCCTCTGGGATTCAAGTGATTCTTCTGCCTCAGCCTCCAGAGTAGCTGGGATTAACAGGCGCTCATCACCACACCTAGCTAATTTCTGTATTTTTTTCATGGAGACGTGGTTTCACCATGTATTGCAAATACTTTTTAAAGTCTTTTCTAGAACTTGCTTTTCTCTCCCAAAAAAGCCTTATCATAAATATAACAATAGCTAGCCTTTACTGAGCACTCACTGTATGCCAAGCATGATTTTATGTACTTTATCTACTTATTAACTGATTTAAATCCTCCTGACAACCTTGTGAATAGGTTTTGTTATTGCCTTGTATTACAGAGGAAGAAACGGGCACAGAGAGGTGCAGTCACTTGCCCAAGGCTGTTAAGTGATGCAGCTGAGATTCAAACCAAGTCACTCTGGCTCTAGAGCCATGTTCTTAACCATTACATTACATATAAAGTAGCTGAGAGTTTCTTAGGAAGACACGCAGAAGACGAGGCATCCCTTGTTCCATGCTCCATGCTTCTCAGTCCCCCATGGGAACTGGGTAGGAGATGGACCATATTCAAGGTTATTTAGGCTGAAGACCTTGATCTCCAACTTACAGGTGGTTTTTGCTCTTCACGAAACAGCTGTTCTGGTTGTGGACTATTCCTGGACCAAACCAAGGGTCAGACTGCATATTCTCTCTGCTCAGTAGCAAGATGCAGACAAACTGGGAGAGAAGAGAGTTTATTTCTGTAACTGGGTACAAGGAGAAGGCCTGGAAATTATCGCCAGACCAACTCAAAATTACGAAGTTTTCCAGAGCTTATATGCCTTCTAAGTTATATGTCGGCGTGTAAGTGTGCATTCATCTAAAGACTCGAGTGGGTAACTTCTTCTCGTTATAACTAAGAGCTGAGCCCTGAACACCTTCCTCTGGAGCCTTAGTAAATTTACTCCATCTAGATGTTCTAAGTGCTGGGGTGATTACGCTTATCTTGTCTCCTGCTAAGACCTGGAGGAAACCTGTTTGCGGAGGTCTGGGGATTTTCTTCAGACCCCAATAAAACTCATTTAATCCTAAATGTCCTAAATGGGTCCTGCTAAGAATTCCTTCATTATCTTGCCATGCCTCAAGGACCAGGAAGGGCCTGAGCAAAACTCTTGGTGGGTTTTTTTTTTTTTTTGAGATGGAGTTTCACTCTTGTTGCCCAGGCTGGAGTGCAATGGCACAATCTCAGCTCACTACAACCTCTGCCTCCGAGGTTCAAGTGATTCTCCTGCCTCAGCCTCCCAAGTAGCAGAGACTATAGGCACGTGCCACCATGCCCAGCTAATTTTTTGTAATTTTTTCGTAGAGATGGAGTTACAATACAAATTCTCCATGTTTGTCAGGCTGGTCTCGAACTCCTGACCTTAGGTAATTCGCCCACCTTGGCCTCCCACAGTGCTAGGATTACAGTTGTGAGCCACTGTGCCCAACCCCGGTGGATTTTTGTTACATTGCAGCCTTTGTATGAGGACACTGCCTCTTTCCGCTTTTAATATTTAACTTAACCTCTCAGTCAATGCCAAAGCAGTTGTTACAGAGGCCTGCCCGTTCAGCCGTTAGGGAGACCTGGCCTGCCACACAGTACTGCCTGTCTTTGGGGCTGGAAGGAAACTTGACCCAGTGACTCTGCAGAGCCCACAGGGTACTGAGGTTACAATGGGGCTCTCCACTTTCTCTCCTAGGCCTTTGGATCCAAGGGGAGATCTGGCATCAGAAATATGGGGGTCCGGGTAGTGTACGTCCTTGAATTTCCCTGTTTGATAGCCAGGCTACTGACAATTCCTGCTTATCCCAAATTTTTAAAAATAACACAAGATAAAACACAGTTTATTTGAAAAATCTATAAAGGAAAATAATCAAGAAGCCCTTTGTGAGTATAAACTAAGAGGGTAGAAGGAGAAAGGGATGAAGTATCTGGGAACGCTCAGGCTCCGGAGTAGAGTGGACTTCCTTGTATATTTCAGCTACCGGCTGAACCCTGGGCCACCCTGAGGGTCTTTTGGAGTTGAGGAGGTCCCACTTTTCAGAGTTGACTCGGGTCAAGCATTACTGCTTAAGTACCTGTTGGTTTTTTTTTGTTGTCGTTTGTTTGTTCAAGACAGAATCTCACTTTGTCGCTCAGGTTAGAGTGCAGTGGCGCTATCTCAGCTCACTGCAACCTCTGCCTCCCAGCTTCAAGCAATTCTTGTGCCTCAGCCTTCTGAGTAGCTGGGATTACAGGCATGTGTGACCATGCCCTGCTAATTTTTGTATTTTTAGTAGAGACAGGGTTTTGCTATGTTCACCATGCTGGTCTCGAACTCCTAACCTTAAGTGATTCCCCCTGCCTTGGCCTCCCAAAGTGCTGGGATTACAGGCATGAGCCACTATGCCAGGCTTAAGTACATTGTATACAAAGTTTAGATCACGATGTCAGGAGATCAGACCATCCTGGCCAACATGGTGAAACCCTGTCTCTACTAAAAATACAAAATTAGCTGGGTGTGGTGGCGCACACCTGTAGTCCCAGCTACTTGGGAGGCTGAGGCAAGATCATCACTTGAACCCAGGAGGTGGAGGTTGCAGTGAGCCAAGATAGCGCCACTGCACTCCAGCCCGGTGACAGAACAAGACTCCGTCTCAAAAAATATATATGAATAAAAATAAAAATAAATAATAATTAAAAAGTTTCCAGAAAGTCTACAAACATACTACTCAAGTATATTTTATACAGTTTCTCTAATCAGTTCTAAATTGGCTAAGCAACGCCTCTTCTCCAGAATTTATTTGCAATAAATCTTATAATTTAGGTTTTAGCGTGAAAAGGAATCTGTACCAGCAATTCAGCCAAATCAGGAATATTGATTACTTGCAGAAACTGGCTAGGTCTAAATAATGCTGATATTGAAGAATGTAGGCACGAGGGCACTGGAAGAGAACCGCCCTAGACGATGGCGTCAGCTGGTAGCAAAGCCCCTGCGTGCACTCGTGAGGTGACCCAGAAAACTGCATCGAGTATAAATAATGCCAAAAAAAAAAAAAAAAAAAAAGCAAACTGGCCAGGTGCAGTGGCTCACGCCTGTAGTCCCAGCATTTTGGGAGGCTGAGGCAGGCAGATCATTTGAGGTCAGGAGTTCAAGACCAGCCTGGCCAACATGACCAAATCCCATCTCTACAAAAAATACAGAAATTGGCCGGGCACTGTGGCTCACGCCTGTAATCTCAGCACTTTAGAAGATTGAGACCATCCTGGCCAACATGGTGAAAAAATACAAAAAATTAGTCCAGTGTGGTGGTGCATGCCTGTAGTTTCAACTACTTGGGAGGCTGAGGCAGGGGAATCACTTGAACCTGGGAGGCGGAGGTTGCAGTGAACCAAGATCACGCCACTGCACTCCAGCCTGGCAACAGAGCAAGACTCCGTCTCAAAAAAAAAAAAAAAATTAGCCAGGTGTGGTGCTGCGCACATGTAGTCCCCGCTACCTGGGAGGCTGAGGTAGGAGGCTTGAACTCCAGAAGTAGAGGTTGCAGTGAGTGAAGACTGTGCCACGTCACTGCACTACAGCCTGGGCAATACAGCCGGACCTTGGCTCAAAAAAAAAAAAAAAAAAAGGAAACCTCATATTTTGCCTATATATTAGGTAAGTCCCAGGAGAGGTGAACTCCTAGGAATTCAAGTAAATTGAGATCATTCTGATAGAACCGGAGCAGCAAAATCTCCTTTCTGTTCGAAGCCTTCCTCTTCCTGCTCTTTGAGTCCCTATTCCTTTTTTTTTCCCCTTTAGGCCGAATTTGACAAGGCTGCAGAAGAAGTGAGGAAGCTGAAAGCAAGACCAGATGATGGAGAACTGAGAGACCTCTATGGGCTTTACAAACAAGCAACAATTGGAGACATTAATATTGGTATTATATATATCATTAATATTAATCTATTAATACATTACAGTTAATATATTAATTATAATTATGACAATAATATATCATCACTCAAAATAATTATATACTCCAACAGTGTTTATAGAAGCGCACAGTGAAACATTAACTTGCAAATGCATCTCACTTCTTTTGCCAGAGTGCCCAGGAATGCTAGATTTAAAAGGCAAAGCCAAATGGGAAGCATGGAACCTCCAAAAAGGTTTTTTAGTCTTTCACAAGTTTAAAGCAAACTTTCCTAATTTCCCTGTGCGCCAATCAGGGAGATAACCTGTTTGTATCTTTCTAGGGTTGTCGACGGAAGATGCGATGACTGCCTATATTTCTAAAGCAAAGGAGCTGATAGAAAAATATGGGATTTAGAATACAGCATATGAGGCATTTTCCTTTTGAAGCCTTCCGAATGCTATCACGACCTAACATTTAGAGGGAGAGACGCACTGTTAACTTGATGTTTCATGTATATTTTTGCTATTAGCATGCATTGTAATACTTAGGAGTCTACTGAAACTATATAGTTAACTCAATTGTACTTGCTTTAACCAGGTGTCTTTAAAAGTTCTTTTAGAAAAGCATTTTGTTTTTTTACTTTGATAGAGTTAGGGAGTACAACTGCAGTTTGGGTTTGCTCGTTTGTTTGTTTGTTGTTTGTTTCTTGAGAAGGGGTCTACTCTGTCACCCAGGCTGAAGTGCAGTGGTGCGATCTCGGCTCACTGCAACCTCCACCTCTTGAGTTCAAGCGATTCTCTTGCCTCAGCCTCCTGAGTAGCTGGGATTACAGGCATGTGCCACCAATGCCTGGCTAATTTTTGTATTTTTAGTAGAGACTGGGTTTTGCCATGTTGGCCAGGATGGTCTCAAACTCCCGACCTCAGGTGACCTGCCACCTTTGCCTTCCAAAGTGCTGGGATTACAGGTGTGAGCCACCGCACCTAGTCACAACTGCAGTTTTGTTACATGGATATATTGTGTAGTGGGGATGTCTGGGCTTTTATCTGTCACCCAAACAGTGTGCATTGTACCCAAAAGGTAATTTCTCGTCTCACCCCTCCCACCTTTCTGAGTCTCCAGTGTCTCTTCTTCCACACTCCATGACCGTGTATACCCACCATTTAACTCCCACTTACAAGCGAAAACGTGGTATTTTACTTTTTATTTCTGAGGGGGTTTTTATCATTATTTTCTCTTTTTTTCTGAGTTTTTTCACTTAAGATAATCGCCTCCAGTCCCACCCATGTTGCTGCAAAAGCCATAATTTCATTCTTTCCATGTGGCTGAGTAATATCCGTGGTATACATATACCACATATTCTTCGTCCGTCATCCCCTGGTAGATACTTAGGTTGATTCCGTATCTTTGCTATTGTGAATTGTGCTGCAGTAGACATACAGGTGCAGGTATCTTTTGGATGTAATGATTTCTTTTCCCTTAAGTAGATACTCGCAGTGGGATTGCTGGATAGAATGGTAGTTCTATTTTTAGTTCTTTGAGAAATCTTCATGCTGTTTATGTTTCATAGAGGTTATACTAATTTACATTCCCACCAAGTGTGTAACTCCCTTTTCTCCACATCTGTTGTTTTTTGACGTTTTAGGAAGTCTCGCCCTAGTAATATGTACACAGATCTGGACAGCCGTTTGTTCTTTTGGCTCATCTGTTCTGCTACAATGAGTTAATGTTACTGGTGAATTAAAAACAGGTTATTAAGAATCAATGACAAGGCTGGGCGAGGTGGCTCAAGCCTTAACCAGCACTTTGGAAGGCAAAGGTGGGCGGATCACTGAGGTCGGGAGTTTGAGACCAGCCTGACCAGCATGGCAAAACCCCATCTCTACTAAAAATACAAAAATTAGCCAGGCATTGGTGGCTCATGTCTGTAATCCCAGCTACTTGGGACACTGAGGCAGGAGAATCACTTGTACTCAGGAGGCGGAGGTTGCAGTGAGCGGATATTATGCCGCTGCACTCCAGCCTGGGCAACAGAGTGAGACTCTTTCTCGAAAAAAGAACAAAAAAAGAAAGAATCAGTGGCAAGACCGTTCCTTCCTTACACCATGATACAGAGACTGTGACCCAGAGAACATACCTGGCTCCAGTCCTCATTCCTCTGTGAATTTGCTAGGTGACCTGGGACAAGTTACTTAACCTTATTAAGCTTCATCTTTAGAGGAGGGAAAATAATATCACCCTCAGAGGGCTGTTCTAAGAATTGAAAGAGGTAGCTATAATCATCCTACCCTTGTATTGGAGTAAATGTTATATAAAACAGAACAAATTAGCTGAAAATGATTTTTTTTTTTTTGAGACAGAGTCTCATTCTGTCGCCAGGCTAGAGTACAGTGGCACAGTCTCGGCTCACTGCAGCCTCCACCTCCCGGATTCAAGCGATTCTTCTGCCTCAGCCTCCTGAGCAGCTGAGACTACAGGAGTGCACCACCACACCCAGCTAATTTTTTGTATTTTTAGTAGAGGTGGGATTTCACCATGTTGGCCAGGATGGTCTTGATCTCCTGACCTCATGATCTGCCTGCTTCAGCCTCCCAAAGTGCTGGGATTACAGGCGTGAGCTACACTGCGCCCAGCCCTGAAAATGATTTTTTAAAGAAATGTATAAATCTGTCCATAGCAGTTTAAAGAAATTTAAAAAGCCACCATAGAAATGTCTGTTTTTCTTTAAATTTTTACATTTAAGACAAATATAAAAAAAGCAAACTAAAATGTATCTACAGATAAACTGTACCACTACTGTACCCCATATGTTCAGTTTTATCAGAGTAAAAATAGATTCTGGAATATAATGTTGGCCTCCTACTCAGTCTTTCTGGATGGTACACAAGCTCTTCGAAAGAAGGTAGTCTCATGTTAACAGTTCAAAAAGTTGTTTGAGATCTCATACAACAATATCTTATCAAACAAAAGTTGTATGAGATCTCATACAACAATAAATATCCCCCAAAACAGCGTACCTCTATTCCCTGCATAAAAACGTAGGTTTGGAATGCTATGACCAAGAGGAATAGATTGTCTTCGTGTTACTACAGCAGCAAAACTCTGTAGATCCACTAGACGAATTTCCGGGGAATTATGCTGAGCAGAAAAAGCCAATTGACAAATGTTACATGTATAATTCCATTTTGGAAACTTTTTTTTTTTTTTTTTTGAGACAGGATGTCACTCTGTTGCCCAGGCTGGAGTGCAGTGGCACGATCTAGGCTCACTGCAGCCTCCGCCTCCCAGGCTCAAGTGATCCTCCTACCTCAGTCTCCTGAGTAGCTGGGACTACAGGCGCGTACCACCATGGTTGGCTATTTTTTATGTTTTTCATAGAGACAGGGTTTCACCATGTTGCCCAGGCTGGTCTGGAACCCCTGATCTGAGGTGATCCACCAGCCTCGGACTCCTAAAGTGCTGAAATTACTGTCATGAGCCACTGTGTCCAGCCAGCATTCTTGAAAGGGCAAATTTACAGATGCAAAGGACAGAATAGTGGTTTCCAGGGAGGAGGGAGGTGAGTGTGGCTTAAAAGGGCAGCAGGAGGGATGATCCTGCAGTGATGGAATGTTGTCTTGATCGTAGCAACACCAGTACCTGATTGTGATATTACACTGGTTTTGCATGGCAGTCACCATTAAAGGAAGCTGGGTAAAGGCTACACCAATGTCTCTGTGTTATTTCTTATGAATAAAAGGGAATCTGCAGTTAGCTCAAAAAGTTTAATTTTAAAAATTGAGGTTGGTTTCTCATAGGGACAATTTTGGCCATCGAGATAATTCTTATCTTTCTAAATTTCGCCTAATGATGGAAGTCTTCCACAATGATATCAAGGCCGAAGTCCTTCAAAGAGAAGATATCAGCAATGATAGACCTGGTGTCTTACGGTCGAGGGCTTGAAAACACCTAACAGTTGTTCCCATGTGGACTTTACCTCCCCCAGATAGAGATGCAGGGGGAAAAGCTCGCCCCCAAAGCCTCGCATCGGTTCCATCTTGAAACTTCAGTTTGCAGACTATCTTGACTAAACATTTTGCAAATTAATAATCACAAATCCACATTCCTTTTTCTTTTCTTTCTTTCTTTTTTTTTGTTTTTTGAACACAGTCTCGTTCTGTTGCCCAGGCTGGAGTGCAGTGGTGCAATCTTGGCTCACTGTAACCTCCGCCTCTGGGGTTCAAGTGATTCTCCTGCCTCAGCCTCCTGAGTAGCTGGGATTACAAGCACCTGTTGCCACACCCAGCTCATTTTTTTTGTATTTTTAGTAGAGATGGAGTTTTGACACATTGGCCAGGCTGGTCTCTAACTCCTGACCTCAGGTGATCCATCTCAGCCTCCCAAAGTGCTGGGATTACAGGCGTGAGCCACCACACCCAGCCTCCATGTTACTTTTGTACCAATCTTTCAGTAAGCGAGCGCTGGAAATAGTATCAAATCAAAGGATAAAGTACCACACATACTACACATTTTACATAATTTGCTTGAGGCTATTTGTAGTCTAAATTTATGACATGAATTCTAACTCAAAGTGTCTCCCCCAAATAGTTATTCTTATGTTATTCGTACTTTGTTTAAAAACAGTGATAAATTGTGGGTAATACCAACTATATGAACTCCTTAATCTTATTTACTAAGACCTTATGTTTGTTTTTTTTTTGAGACAGGGTCTCACTCTGTCACCCAGGCTGGACTGCAGTGGCATGATCCTAGTTCACTGCAGCCTCTACCTCCTGGGCTCAAGTGATCCTTCAGCCTCAGCCTTCCAAGTAGCTAGGATTACAGGTGCATACCACCATGCCTGGCTAATTTTTAAAATCTTCTGTAGAGACAAGGGTCTCCCAAACTCCTGACCTCCAATCATCCTCCCGATCAGCTTCCCAAAGTGCTGGGATTATAGGTGTTGAGCCACTGCCTCTGGCCCCTATTTCTGCTTTTCTTTTTCTCTTGGTTCTTGTTTGCCTCCAGCTGTTGTGCTTTCTCCCTGAGTCAAGTTCAAGTTATTGCTGCGTGAGGCTGAGGCAGCCTCTTAGGCGTGGCATTTGTGCTTGGCAACTCCCTTTGTCACGGGCCAGGCTCTAGATTGGTTGTTCGTTGGGAGGACTGGACCCAGGTCCCAGCCAGTGATGCTGGGTGGCAGGGCTGGGGTACAGGCATTCTGAGGGCTTGCCTGTACAAGTGACAATACTTGTTTAGGGCTATCTTCTTTTAACAAAGCAGTAGATTTGTGTTTTCTTATTAAATGGGGCTATTCTACATTTGAAAAGATGAGATTTTACTTCAAGCATTTCCCCTCGAAATCATCTATACCATTAAACTAATTAAAGGGAAAATTGGATAATTTACCAATCATGAATTTTATTGACAAATTTCCAAACAAGCAGAATCAAGTGAGATTTTAATATGAAGACACAAGACTCTACCAGAAGTATTCTTTACTGGTAGACCTCTGTCCCTAGATACATACATATATTTATATAACGAATCTCCCTGACAGTAGAAAATGTATAATTTCGAATACTGGAATATTAGAAATTATACATTTCTAATATTTGAGCCACATTTCTCATTTGAGCCACATCTGAATAACTGAGAAGAATATCATATCACTTTGATTATTTTAAAAGTGGAAAGGAAAAATATCTAAAAATCGACAAGCGATGATACTTCTAGACACTTGGTTATGTAGTTCTTGATGAACTTCTCGTTAGCAGGATTCTTAAAATAAAAGTGATCTCCTGGAAGCTCATGGATGTTTATACTTCCAGTGGTTACATCTTTCCATCCTGAAAATAGACAAGGTTATATTCAATAACAGCACCAACTGCAACTAAAGATTCACTTCAAGACATTATTTCTTTAAGAGCTGACACCCTGGGGTACAGTTACTTTCAAGGTCTATGTTCTAGGTGACAGAACAGGAGCATTGCCCTGTTAGACAAGCCCCTCATTCTAAAATTCACCTTAGCCAGGCGCAGTGGCTCACGCCTGTAATCCCAGCACTTTGGGAGGCCAAGGTGGGTGGATCACAAGGTCAGGAGTTCAAGACTAGCCTGGACAAGATGGCCTCTACTATACAAAAAATTAGCTGGGCATGATGGCATGTGCCTGTAATCCCAGCCATTCAGGAGGCTGAGGCAGAGAGTTGCTTAAACCTGGGAGGCGGAGATTGCAGTGAGCTGAGTTCTCACCATTGTACTTCAGCCTGGGCCACATAGCGAGACTCTATCTCAAATAAATAAATAAAATTCTCCTTAATAAAAAACCACCTAAATCCAAAGGGCATCAGCCTAATGGCTAAGGTCAGCACGACTGTAAACCAGAAATAACATCTCCAACCAGAAACATTCCAAACTCCTGGCTGGGAAGATGCTAAGCTTGAGCTAACGCCGCTCCAGCTGGAAAGATGTCTGCCCCAAGATAACCTCCCCTTCTCCCAAAGACATTCCAACCCTGCCATGAAACTTCTCCCTCACACAGAAACATTCCAAGCTTGTGTTAAGCCCCCTCATCCTAAAATCAATATATACTCTAAGTCTGTAAGAGAAAGTGCTCCTGACTGAAATCGGCCATGAGGCCCGCTCAGGTTTTATCTAAGAAAACCTGTCTTTGACTGTTAAGCCATGTTTCATGGTTCTTTCTTCTTTGTTTAACTCTTACACTAGGTGTCCTGCATTTTTAATTTCTTTGAGACATATCAGTACACAGCAATTCTCATTTTACATAAAACCAACATCTCTCCTTTTGCACTAAATACAACTTCAACTACTTTTTTTTTTTTTTTTTGAGACAGAGTTTCGCTCTTGTTACCCAGGCTGGAGTGCAATGGCGCGATCTCGGCTCACTGCAACCTCCGCCTCCTGGGTTCAGGCAATTCTCCTGCCTCAGCCTCCTGAGTAGCTGGGATTACAGGCACGCGCCACCATGCCCAGCTAATTTTTTGCATTTTTAGTAGAGATGGGGTTTTACCATGTTGACCAGGATGGTCTCGATCTCTCGACCTTGGGATCCACCTGCCTCAGCCTCCCAAAGTGCTGGGATTACAGGCTTGAGCCATCGCGCCCGGCCTCAACTACTTTCTTACTCATTGCAGTAACTGCTAGTGGACACTGGTCAGAAACCATCAAACATAAGTATACACACCTACTATGTACCCAACAAATTAAAGATTAAAAAAAATTTTTAAGCCATTGAACATATATTTCAATACAATACCCGAGACTAAAAATAATTTCACCTTCAGTGTCCTTTGCTATGTCTATGTCTTCAGATCCACGAAAACATGTTAAGTCACAAGAAAGAATAGTCTTAGATGGACTCTCAGAGCTGTAAACATAAAGAGCTAGTTAGTAATTGTTCAAAATCAATGTCCCAGAATCCTTTCCTGTTCCTAACATCGTGTCAATGAAACTGGGTGGGCTCACTTCTTTTCCCTTGGCTACTTCTAACAGTGTAAACGTTTTTCACCAGTGGCACTTCTACCTGTCAAAGCCCTCCTGAGACTCAGTGTGGAGACTAATTTCCAGTATCTGACTTCTAGGATGTGACAAGTGGCAGCAGGATGGCACTGGGGCACCCAGTTCAACTCAAGGTGAGGCTGGTGCAACCACTCCTTTAAACTGTCATTCATCAGAAATGAAGACCTCTTTGGTAATTCGCAGCTCTCGCTGGCCCAGCAAAGAGTTGCTATGCACAGAAACTCACAACAGCAGCAAATGTGTTTATTGAGTCAGAGGCTCGGTACTGCAGTAGACACTAGGGGCACACGGAGAAACAAGCACACTCCTTGCCCTGCTGCAGCTGAGAGACTGTCTGGGAGACAGACATTACGGAAACAGACAACTAGAGAGAGATGGAAGTGCCACAAGTCTAGGGGCATGGAGAACACTTGGCAGGAGGGTGGAGGTGGGGACAGGATCAAGGCAGGTCTCCTGGGGAAGAGAGGATCTGAAACCTGAATGAATAGAGAAGAACTGGTCCAAGGGCAGAGAGCCAGCAGGGCAAGAGGGAAGAGAAAGATGATAAATTAAGGGCTAGGTCAGGTGTGGTGGCTCATACTGTAATCCCAGCAGTCTGGGAGGCCGAGGCAGGAGGACCACTTAAGGCCAGGAGTTTGAGACCAGCCTGGGCAACATATCAAGATCCCATTTCTACTAAATAAAAAAATCAGCCAAGTGTGATGTCATGTATCTGTAGTTCTAGCTACTTGGGAGGCTGAGGTGAGAGGATCACTTGAGCCCAGAGGTCAAGGCTGCAGTGAGCTGTGATAGCACCATTGTACTCCAGCCTGGGCAACAGAGTAAGATCCTGTCTCAAAAATCAAGACAAAACAAAACAAAAGGGTATTGTTCAGAGAACAAAGTGGAAACTTGGGAAAATTAAGGTATAAGAGGTATGCAAGGCCCAAGTCTAGGCCACAGAAAGGAATTTGGTTATCCCAAGAGTGAGAGGACATCGCCAAAAAGACCTAAAACAAGGTAGGCCATGATCAAACTCAAGTCTTACCCTCTGGATAGAGTGTGGGGAATGGATCAGGGCAGGACCAAGTGTATGTGATCGGCCCAAGTGAATGGTTCTTGCAATAGTCCAGGCAAGGATTTGTTCCTGCCCAGAGTATAGAAAACCAGCAGCACACCATGCCCCATCCTAACAATGAGGAAAAAAAAAAGAAAAACAAGAAACAAACAGGGAAACTACAGCATCATGACTTGTCTTGAACCCAGCAGGGAGCTGTGCTTGCAACGCAAGCTAGAAATCAAATTCCAAGGAGGGCAGACTCCCGTTAGAAAGGTGGGGCCAAACGCTGTGTTAGGTGGAGTTTACACTGACTTGCAGCTTCTTTTGACTTCTTTTGTTTGTTTGTTTGAGATGGAGTCTCACTCTATTGCTCAGGCTTGAGTGCAATGGAGTGATCTCAGCTCATTGCAACCCCTTTCTCCTGGGTTCAAGTGATTCTTCTGCCTCAGCCTCCCAAGTAGCTGGGATTATAGGCACCTGCCACCAAACCAGCTAATTTTATATTTTTAGTAGAGATGGTGTTTCACCATGTTGGCCAGGCTGGTCTTGAACTCCTGACCTCAAATGATCCAACCACCTTGGTCTCTCAAAGTGCTGGGATTACAGGCATGGGCCACCGTGTCTGGCCACACAGCCTCCTTTCTATGGGCCTTCACTAGGGGTTGACGAGAAAGATTAGGGATTAGATAAGTGGCTAGAGAGACACCTCCACGGGCAGTTAATTAGCTGTGGCAACTGGAGTGGCACTAGATTGCAACCTGACCAGGTCTGCTCTCACTGTAAGCAGGAGCCTGAAGTTGCTGGAGAAGGGACATGAAACCCTCTCACTCCCAGGGTGCAGGTGAAGCCCTGTGGCTGCTGGGGGGAGGATAAAAGCATAAGCCCTCCCCCTCTGGGGAAGGGATGGGAAACAATTCTACAGCAAAACCAAGCAGAGCTCTGCTGCTTGTGGAAAGGGGCAGGAATCTTCTGCAAAGGCCACCACAGATACAAGGCAAAAACGTGTTTGCAAGAGAGAAGGAGCAGGCATGCTGAGAAAGCCCCACTCACAGAGCCCAGGCTCAGGGGCTACCTGGAATTCACACTTCAGACTATGTAGGATGTCCAAGAACTCCCTGTGTTACCCACAGCTGTGTAACAAGCCACAGCTGTCTACACTGGGGAGGGTAACAGGAGGGAGAGAGGCTGTTCTGTGAGTCACGGGGAACGTTAAACTTGAAGCGTGGATCAGGACCACTGAGAAAACTTCTGCAACTGGATCCCAACCAGACACAGAGTAATTACACTAGACGACTTGAGAGCGGGTGGTGCACTGGAGGTGATCACAGCAGCAACAAGCCCAGACTAGACTGATTCACCTCCGCACACTAACAACCCGGCAAAAGGAGAGACGTGCTCAAAGTCAGGTGTAAAACATTACCTTCAGTCTTTGCTGTTTTATGCATGATAACTGGCTTTTGATTTTAAAAAAATTATCAGACACACAAGAAAGCAAGAAATAACCATCGTTAAGAGGCAACGCAGTCAAAAGAATCAGCTGCACATAAGATCCAGCTGTTGGAACTCTCAGACAGGGACTTAAATATGTAGGATTCATTTGTCAACAGATTTCGTGGAGAAGGTGGGTAACATTCATGAACACCTGGGGAATTCATTAGAAAGGCAAAGACTGGAGAGAGTCAAATGGAATTTCTAGAAATAAGAACAGGAATGAGGAAGTCTTTGGACAGGCTGATCAGTAGACCTGATGCAGCTGAGGAAGCTTGACCGTCAGAAGAAATTATTTACACTGCAACACAAAGGAAATTTTTTTAAAAAGAGACAAAACGGAACTTCCAAGACATTTGGGACAATATCAGTTATGAAACAGCTTAATATACATGGCATCAGGATCCCAGAGGAGGAACAGTAACACAAAAGTCCCAAGCAAGAGAGGAGGACAGTTTATATGAGTTGAAGTAGTCACAGCTTCGGGCACGTCTCAGCAGACTATTTCCATTTTGACTGCCAGCTCTGAGCTTTGGTGGTAGTGATGGCGAAGGAGAGGACTGGGGAAAACTCTGAAGGCCTGATTTCATTTATATTGGAAACAGCTGGGAGACAACGAGGAAAGGCGAGAGATCAGATTGAACAGGAGAAGGAGCGGGAGGGCAGGATTTCGGAGAGTTTTTGAAATCTGGAGAGAGGAAGTTAAAAGTTGTGAGTAACTACTGCAATTTGATCTGCTGGAGAAAGGGTGAGTAGGTTACCGTCGTCTACATTCTGTGAGTGGAATATCCCCATGAGTGACGTATGTTAATGCTTCATGTTTGGTGTCTGGGAGGTTTCTTTGGAGTGAAAAAGACTCATCAGTTGTGAGTTTTTTGGTTGTGTTTTCTTTTTTAAAAATACCTTGTGGGCCGGGCGCGGTGGCTCAAGCCTGTAATCCCAGAACTTTGGGAGGCCGAGGCGGGTGGATCACGAGGTCAAGAGATCGAGACCATCCTGGTCAACATGGTGAAACCCCGTCTCTACTAAAAATACAAAAACTTAGCTGGGCACGGTGGCGCGTGCCTGTAATCCCAGCTACTCGGGAGGCTGAGGCAGGAGAATTGCCTGAACCCAGGAGGCGGAGGCTGCGGTGAGCCTAGATGGCGCCATTGCACTCCAGCCTGGGTAACAAGAGCGAAACTCCGTCTCAAAAAAAAAAAAAAAAAAAGCTTGTGGTTTGTTGTGTGCCAGACTCTCCCCTCTACCAAGCAGTTAATTCTCACACCACACCTTGAAGAGCTGTTATTATTAACCCTTCCTTGACAGACGAGACACAAACGGTTAAAGAAACTTGCTCAGAATCTCACAGTGAATAAAACGCAGAGGCTTTCAATCTGCTAAGTGTACTCTAAAGATGGCATGTTTCATCATTGTGCAAGGCTTAATTTTTTTTCTTTTTTTGAGATGGAGTCCCCCTCTGTCACCCGGGCTGGGGTGCAGTAGCGTGAGCTCAGCTCACTGCAACTTCCACCTCCCAGGTTCAAGCAATTCTCTGCCTCAGCCTCCTGAGTAGCTGGTATTACAGGCACACACCGCCACGCCGGGCTAATTTTTGTATTGTAGTAGAGACAGGGTTTTACCATCTTGGCCCAGCTGGTCTTGAACTCCTGACCTCGTGATCCATCCGCCTCAGCCTCCCAAAGTGCTGGGATTATAGGCATGAGCCACCACGACCGTCAAGGCTTAATTATTAAAAGCCAGCTTTTGCATACATGATTGCATTGAATGTCCATAGCGATTTGGATTGCTTCTTAGCTTTTTCAGTGTTGTTTTAAATTCACCAATAATGGTTTATGTTGGTGAGGTATACTGTGATATTTTGATATAAGTATACATAATGGAATGATTAAGTCAAGCAAATTAACATATCCATCACCTCATATATTTAACTTTTAAAAATGACGTGCACACTTAAAATCTACTTTCTTAGCAATTTTGAATTATACATGCGTAGTCACCATGCTGTGCAGTAGATCTCAAAAGCTTATTCCTGGCCAAGTACAGAGGTGCTCATGCCTGTTATCCCAGCACTTTGGGAGGCTGATGCAGGAAGATCACTTAAGCTCAGGAGTTTGAGATCACCCTGGGCAACATAGAGAAACCCCATCTCTACATTAAAAAAAAAAAGAGAGACAGTTGTAATGAGCTCCCATCATCCCACTGCACTCCAGCCTGGGTGACAGAGCAAAACCCTGTCTCCAAAAAAAGAAAAAAACCCACAATTGCATGGGTTTACTTCTGGGCTGTTTCATTCCATTGCTTGATATGTCTGTTTTCATGACATTACAATCATGTTTTGATTACCATAACTTTTTTTCCCTTTTCCTTTTCTTTTCTTTTTTTTTTTCTTTTTGAGAAAGAGTCTTGCTCTGTCTCCCAGGCTAGAGTGTAGTGGTGTGATCTCAGCTCACTGCAACCTCCGCTTCCACAGTTGAAGTGATTCTCATGCCTCAGCCTCCCAAATAGCTGGGACCATGGCTAATTAGTTATTTTTTTGATCCTCTCTCTCCTCCCATCCTCCACCTTCAAGTAGGCCTCAGTGTGTGCTGTTCCCGCCTTTGTGTCCATGTGTTCTCATCATTTAGCTCCCACTTTGAAGTGAGAACATGTGGTATTTGGTTTTCTGTTCCTGTGTTCGTTTGCTAAGGATAATGGCCTCCAGCTCCATTTGCAGAAGGTGAACTTCCTGCAAAGGGCATGATCTCATGTTTTGTTCTCATTCGTTTCAAAGAACTTCTTGATTTCTACCTTAGTTTCATTATTTCCCCGAAGGTCACTCCAGCGCAGGTTGTTCAATTTCCATGCAATTGTATGGTTTTGAGCAATTTTCTTGGTCTTGAATTCTGTTTTAATTGTGCTGTTATCTGAGAGAGTAGATGTCATGATTTGAGTTCTTTTGCATTTTCTGAGGGGTGTTTTCTATCTGATTATGCGGTCATTTTTATACTATGTAATGTGGCAATGAGAAGAATGTATATTGTGTTGTTTTGGGGTAGAGAGTTCTGTAGATATCTATCAGATTCATTTGATCCAGTGTCATATTAGGTCCTGAATATCTTTGTTAATTTTTTTGCCTTGATGATCTATGTGGGGTGTTGAAATCTCCCGCTATGATTGTGTGGGAGTCTAAGTCTCTTTGAGGGCCTCTAAGGACTTGCTTTATGAATCTGGGTGCTCCTGTGCTGGGGGCATACATATTTAGAATAGTTCACTCTTCTTGTCTAACCGAACCCTACACCATTATGTAATGCACTTCTTTGTCTTTCTTTTATCTTTGTTGGTTTAACATCTGTTTTGTCTGAAGTTAGGATTGCAACCCCTCCTTCCTTGTGTTGTAATTTGCTTGGTAGATTTTTCTCTGTCCTTTTCTTTTGAGCCTATGGGTGTCACTACATGTGAGATGATCACAGCTTTAAAACATATCAGGTTTCTGGTTTTGTTTTTCTTTTGATACCAAACTGGTATTTCTTTGATCCTCGCTCTACAATAAGCCAGAAACACAAGACAGCTTTAACCTTAGGAGAATCACATTTGAGCTAAGATGGTTGGGATAGAAATGGACACATGTGGCTAGACTTGAGATATTGAAGGTAAGTCGTGTAGCTTGTGATAGATTGGACTGGACGTGAACAGTGAATAGAAGAACGTGTCAAAGATGAATGGATTGTCTCCATTCTCAAGGTGCTGCGAGTCTCTTAACCTTTTTGTAGCTATTCGTGTAAGCTTCTAGCAGCAAGCACTGTCTATGGTGCCGAATGCCCAGTTCCAGACCTTGTGGAGGAAATGAAAGAAACACAGGCCCAAGCCTGCAAGGAACTTACACCAAGGGGACAAGCCCCAAGCAAAATAGAAAAAACAAAGGACAGTATACAACAGTGACTAAGGGACAAATCATGGTGCCACAATGACGATGGGGAAGTTAGGCCAGGAAGAGCCATTTGTAGGCTCAGATTATTAGGGGACGTGGTGGATCATGCCTGTAATCCCAGAACTTTGGGAGGCCCAGGTGGGCGGATCACCTGAGGTCTGGAGTTTGAGACCAGCCTGGCCAACATGGTGAAACCCCATCTCTACTGAAAATAAAAAAAATTATCTGGGCTTGGTGGCACACATCTGTAATCCCAGCTACTGGGAGGCTGAGGCACAAGAATCACTTGAACCTGGGAGACGGAAGTTGCAGTGAGCCGAGATCTTACCACTGCACTCCATCCTGGAAAAAAAAAAAAAGGGACTTACAGAGTATCAGGACTTCAGTTCTGTCAGAAGCATCAAGTGTCAATACAGACATCCCGTTAGACAAGGGAGTGGAGAGATGTCATAGAACTTAATGAGTTCTGGAACCAAATTCACAAAAATGTAAACCTAGCAAATTTCTCCCCACTGGTTTTTCCCCACACTTATAAGTAACAATCTATTTCTGCTGACCCTTCTAAGAAGATGAATATGCTTTGGCCTTAATTTATTCAACAAATATTTACTATGTTATGTAATAAAATATGCATGTCTAATCATATATTTTTAAAAGAAAAATATATGCTAGACTTTTTTTTTTTGAGATGGAGTCTCGCTCTGTTGCCCAGGCTGGAGGGCAGTGGTGTGATCTTGGCTCACTGAAGTCTCCACCTCCTCGGTTCCAGTGATTCTCCTGCCTCAGCCTCCCAAGTAGCTGGGATTACAGGCGTGCACCACCACACCTGGCTAATTTTTGTGTTTTTGGTAGAGATGGGGTTTTGCCATGTTGGCCAGGCTTGTCTTGAACTCCTGGTCTTAATTGATTCACCGGCGTGGGTCTGCCAAAGTGCTGGAATTACAGGCATGAGTTGCTGTGCCTGGACATACTAGACATCTTTTATAGACACAATTTCTGTGCCTAGGCTCCATTCTAAACCAGTATACATACTGTAGGTGGCCCCAAAGGAAATTAAAACAAACTCTTAGAATTTTGTCTTCCCATCTAAGCAGCCTCAGAGCACTGCCAATCTATGTTTTCTCTACAAATAATTATACCAAAAAAAAAAAAAGAAAGCTTTTCTCTGTTACTTACATGCATCTACTAACAATGTTCACATCTGCCATCATAATGGGCATATATTGTTGCCGAAGTTCCTTGTCTTCAAGAAAATTCATGGGGGTGCCTCCAAAATCCGCAAGGTAGTGACAAATTTGTTCATCTGACAATGCTTTATCTATAAGAATTTGAATCTGGGCCTTTGCCTTGAAACATGAACAATACAGGCCTGATATTTCATATAACGCATTTGCTCATAAACTGAAAACTGTTGATCTAAGGGAAAAGTCATTAAACCAAGGCTGGGAAGTGGACTGCTTTATCTACAGGCTTCAGGGAAGAACTATCTCATTTTGAAAGCAGGAAGGCTCATCAGTGATAACTGCAGCATTATAATGCCACCAAAATGACTTTGTAGATTTAGAATCCTGGGACAGGCAGGATCTTTCTCCAGATAAAGTGGGGAAGACCAAAGAGGTAGGAGGAAGAGCAGCAGGAACAAGGAACAAGCAGCACCAGGTTTAAAAAGCCACTGTAGTTCTAAAAATTTGACATCACTATCCCCTTTTTAAATTCCAAAGAGTCTTTCCTCGTTCTGATCCAGTTACTTTGCCCAAAGTTGGTTAAGTTCCCAGCTGACCCAGAATGAAGGAAAAATCACTATAGTTAGCATTAGCTTAGAGATGCCAGGAATAGTGCCAGCAGGGAACAGTTGGAGCACATTTCAGGGAAACACAGAGATAATGATATTGAAAGAGATTTAAGGGACTGTTCAACAGCAAATATTAGGTCGGTGCAAAAGCAATTGTGGTTTTTGCCATTGAAAGTAATGGCAGACTGGGCATGGTGGCTCATGCCTGTAATCCCAGCACTTTGGGAGTCCAAGGCGGGTGGGTCCCCTGAGGTCAGGAGTTCAAGACCAAGCTGGCCAACATGGTGAAACCTCGTCTCTACTAAAAATACAAAATTAGCCAAGTGTGGTGGCACACGCCTGTCGTCCCAGCTACTCAGGAGGCTGAGACAGGAGAATCACTTGAACCCAGGAGATGGAGGTTGCAATGAGCCAAGATTGTGCCACTGCACTTGAGGCTGGACAACAGAGTGAGACTCCATCTCAAAAAAGAAAGAAAAGAAAGTGATGGCAAAACCTCAACTGCTTTTGCACCAACCTAATAGTATCCCCACCATCATCACCATACTGGACCAAAATTCATCAGATAGGGAAATAATTTTTATTCCCATTTCCCTGCTCTCCACTACCCTTCCTAGGAATAAGCTAAATTACTTACTTGTGGAGAAAAGGCACTTGACAAAAATAAATGCAGTGGTTCTAGTTTATGCTTTTCTTTTAGGTGCAGTGCAGTCTTAAAAGCAATGTAGGCTCCCATACTAAATTCAGGAAAGAAAAACATGACAAGAACTATTAAGCAAAACTCATGACGATCCTCTGAGTCAATAGGAACAGTATCATAAATGCAACCATGGTCATGGAATAGTCAAAAGTGTGAGTTGATTAATAAGTCTGTGTTTTCAATGATTTATGTCAGCATAAAAAGTGTTTCAAAGACAGCCTGGATAATTCACTCTAAGATTTAGTACTGATTTCCACACTATCTTCGAATTAATTTAAATTTCCTTTTCTTCCCTAAAGATGTGTATCACTATGTCTTTGATGGTATAATATCAGCAGTTCTCAGAATACGGTTTGGGGACCCCTGGAAATTTATGAGATCCTAATGGATGGTCCATGAGATCAAAGCTGTTTTCAGGATAAATACTAAAATGTTATTTTCCTTTTTTACTATAATGAGTACACCGTAGCGTTTTCCAGAAGCTATATGACATGTGATATAGTGACAGGTGGATGAAGAGACAGAGAAGAGAATCCATCAGCCTTCTATTATGTCAGACATTAAACATATTTGCAAAAGCGTAAAATGATGTCACTCTTCTCACCTTCTCAATTTTTAAAAAAATAATTACAGTTTTTTTAATAAAAATGTATTATTTATATCAATGTATAATAGTTTTGTTAATATTATTTTTAGATCAGTTAATAAATAAATATCTTTAGCATTTCTTAGTTTTACTTTCCAGTAAGGTAAATATTGCCAGATATATCACATATAAACAAAAGCTCTTTGAGTTCCTCAGTGCATCTTAAAAGTATAAAGGAGTACTGGAACCAAAAATGTTTGTGGACTGTATTGATATTAAGTAGATATATCTGGTAGACAAAACTGCCAGAGGTTGCTTATTTGTAAATTGCATAGGTGTATATTTTATGAAAGAAAGGGACACTCAGCACCATATTCATTGCACATGGAGTGTAAAGTACAAGTAATTTGGAAATAAATATCAAGAACTTTTACGGGCTTGATGCAGTGCCCCATGCCTGTAATCCCAGCACTCTGAGAGGCGGAGGTGGGTGGATCACTTGAGCCCAGGAGTTGGAGACCAGCCTGGGCAACATGGCAAAAACCCATCTCTACAAAAAGAAACCCATTTCTACAAGAAGAAATTAGCGGGGCACCTGGTGGCATGCTCCTGTACTCCCAGCTACGTGGGAGGCTGAGGTAGAAGAGTCCCTCGAGGGGTTGCAGTGGTGCATGAGCTATCATTGTACCACTGCCCTCCAGCCTGGGCGACAGAGCGAGACCCTGTCTGGAAAAGACCTTCAACTATGTGCACATTATTTAAGATAAATTCTGAGAATTTATCCTAAAAAACTGATAGGAGATTTACACTTAATTTTCTATAAGAACGTTCACTGGGCTGGGTGCAGTGGCTCACGCCTGTAATCCCAGCACTTTAGCAGGCCAAGGCAGGTGGATCACTTGAGGTCAGCAGTTCAAGACCAGCCTGGTCAACATGGTGAAACCCCATCTCCATTAAAAATATAAAAATTAGCTGGGTATCATGGCGTGCACCTGTAATCCCAGCTATTTGAGAGGCTGAGGTGGGAAGATTGCTTGAACTCATGAGGTGTAGGTTGCAATGAGCCAAGATCGTGCCACTGCATTCCAGCCTGGGTGACAGAGTGAGACTCTGTCTCAAAAAAAAAGTTCACTGGACTGTTGTTTGTAATAGAAAAAGATAGAAATAACTCATATCCACAGAAGGAGGTTAAACAAATCATGAAGTGACATATACTTACAGGATGTGAAAGATATTTATAGCAATAATATGATAAATAAATTTAATTTAATATTAATTTAATTACTATAATAGAAATATACCAATAAATATCTTTCACATCCTATAAGTATACATTGCTTTTAAGTGAAAAAGGTCAAGTAAATATATAAAACCAGACCCCACTATGTAAAAATACTAAGAAACCACATCAGAATTGTAAAGCATTATCTGGGTTGTAGGATGATGAGTACTTTTTATTTTGTAATTTCTGCTTGGCCATATTTATAAATCTTATATAATAGCCAACGTTTATTGAGTCCTTATTATACACCAGTTTATTTAAGATCACTATTCATTTAAGCCTCACGAGTGGGAACTATTGTTATTGTAGCCTTATAGAAAAAGAAACTAACTCATAAGCCTAAGAAATGTTCCCAAGGTCCTACAACTGATAAGAGATCACCAGAACCCTAGGGTCTCTGATCTAACCTCAGAATTATACAACCTAGCTTAAGAAACAAATATTCTTTGCAGCATTTTTTTATTGAAAAATGAATGTAAGCTGCTGTTAAAGTCTTAGTTTTACAAGTATTTACTATTTTTTTGCCTAAAAGGAAAAAAATAGGTATACTTACCATACAAACTGGTGAACTGTAAAAGTTGTGATTGGTCACAATTACTCAAAATGCTGTCTAACCATTACGAGACACTGTGAGCAACATTAACCACAGACTCGGGATAGAAGAAACTCCCCTGAAGAATTTTAAAACAGATTTCAAATACCTGTGGCCAAAAAGTGCAAATGGTTTACCCTGGATGACTGGCAGCATGGCACAAGTAATTTCATCAATTATCTGGTAGATGTCAGTTACCAAAGGTTCTCCAGTTCGGCTTTCTCTTCCAGGAAGCCTTATGGCATGCACTGAAGATGGAGAAGCACAGGTGAACACATACAGAGAGTGAATGAGATATTGTGATGTTATAAAAGGGCTTATATTTACCTGATGGAAAAAAATTCAAAGAAATAAATGATAACAGTTAAGTCCAGTGAGATAAAGTTTTAGAATTTGCTGATAATAAAAGCAAGGGCACAAAATACAGCAGACTAAATATCTGCTCACAATAAGATAAAGAAAACACCTAGAAGGAAAAAAAAAAAGGAACTGAAAATTCCATTGATGATCATGTGCTGATGAAATGCTTACCCCAACAACCACTACCTATATCAGGAAAATAAAACAGCAGGTTTAAGGGTGACCTAGAGTGTCAGGAGATAAGGCACTGGAATGCATTAAATTTGAGAGTTAGAACTGAGTCCTTTACATAAAGCCAATAAACCCTAATTTCTAGATCCTTGGTGAAAAGTTAGACTACAAATATATATTTTCCAAATGGCAAAGGAGAAAAGCAGAACTTTCTAATTCTGTCTTGGCTCTGGAAGGGGGAAAAAGTCTGCCCTTAGATTTTTTTTTAATCAAAGCCCTGTATTTATGCAAATTTGAAGTGTGTTTATGTTACTTTGCTAAACTGGAGTGCAGGTAACATAAACACTCTTCAAATTTATAGAAAATGAAGCTGGAAAAATAACTCAAAGTGATCCTGGGCAAGTAGCACTTTGTGATGCCTAACAGAAACAGTGACATGTCATCTCTTAATGAATAAATACACAACATAAGCCTCTCCAGAGCAAACATCAAGTTGATCCCAAATAACTTATTGGCTTGCTTGCTAGAGCAAAGTCTAACATACTTTAAAGGAATACAACAAAATCCAGGACCCAACAATGTAAAACCCACAATGTCTAACATCTAATCAACACTCACCAGACATGCCAAAAAGCTGGAAGACATGACCTGTAACAGGTCCAGGGATAGCGTCAAACGTGAGAAACAGACAGGAAATAACAAACAGTGAAGTTGGTAGACAAGGACTTTAAACAGCAAATGTGCTCAATAATGTAAACAAAAATATGAACACGATAAGAACAGATAATAAGGATTTTTAAAAGACCCAAATGGAACTTGTAGGGATGTAAAATATAAGATCTGAAAAATTTTAAAAAGACACCAGACAGGATTAACAGCAGATACCTCATCCTCCCAGGGAGACAGAGTGAGATGGATGGACAGAAGGAAGAAGACACCCAGAAGAAAAGATCAGTGAACTTAAACATAGAAAAAGAAAATATCCAAAATTAAGCATATTGGCCAGGCATGGTGGCTCACACCTGTAATCCCAGCACTTTGGCAGGCTGAGGTGGGCAGATCACTGGAAGTCAATAGTTGGGGACCAACCCGGTCAACATGGTGAAACCCCATCTCTACTAAAAATACAAATATTAGCTGGGTGTGGTGGCACACGCCTGCGGTCCCAGCTACTCAGGAGGTTGTGGCAGGATAATCGCTTGAACCAAGGAGGCAGAGGTTGCAGTGAGCCAAGATGGGGCCGTTGCACTCCAGCCTAGATGACAGAATGAGACTCTGTCTTCAAAATAAAATAAAATGAAAGAAAGAAAGAAAGAGAGAGAAAGAGATAGAGAGAGAGAGAGAGGGAGGGAGGGAGGGAGGGAGGGAGGGAGGAAAGAAGGAAGGAGGGAAGAAAAGAAGGAAGAATGGTAGGGAGAAAGGAAGGAAAGAAAGAATTTCTACATGTCAATGAGAAAAAAAGCAATCAAATGAAGTGAACATAAGATACTAACAAGAAGCTCACAGGAAGGAAAATATTCAGAGCTAATATATATCTGAAAAGATGCCCAATCTTACTTGTAATAAGGATTAATGAATAATTTCAGCACAGAGTAGCAAAAAATTACAACAGTATTGTCAACAATATAGAGCAATGAGAATTTTCCTATGTCACTTTGGTAGTATAAATTATTATAATTTTTTTTTTGAGACGAAGTCTTGCTCTGTCACCCAGGCTGGAGTGCAGTGGCATGATCTCGGCTCACTGCAACCTCTGCCTCCCGGGTTCAAGCGATTCTCCTGCCTCAGCTTCCCAAGTAGCTGAAACTACAGGTGCCCACCACCATGCCCGGCTAATTTTTTTGTGTGTATTTTTAGCAAAGGCGGGGTTTCACCGTGTTAACCATGATGGTCTCGATCTCCTGACCTTGTGATCCGCCCACCTCAGCCTCCCAAAGTGCTGGGATTACAGATGTTAGCCTGGCCAGTAGTATAAATTATTATAATTCCTTTGGAGAACAGTTTGACAATATTTTATGTCGTTGAAGATGTTCATACTCTATCACCCAGAAGTTCCTCTCCTAGATGTAGACTGTCTTGTACATGTATGTAAGGAGACATGAATAAGATGCTCATAGAAGCACTGTTTACACTAATAGCAAAAAAAAAGAAAATGACCAGGATGCCTGAGAACAGAATAGATAAATTATGTTATATTCACATAGTAGGATACAAAAAAAAACGTTTAAAACTGATGGAATAGAGATACACATACCCACATGATGCATCCCAAAAAATAAACTGAGGGAAAAGCAAGTTTCAGTGTAATGTTTATAGTATAAAACATTCATATTGGCCAGGTGTGGTGGCTCACGCCTGTAATCCCAGCACTTTGGGAAGCCAAGACAGGTGGATCACCTGAGGTCAGGAGTTCGAGACCATCCTAGCCAACATGGTGAAACCCTGTCTGTACTAAAAATACAAAAATTAGCTGGGCAGGGTGGCACATGCCTGTAATCCCAGATACTTGGGAAGCTGAGGCAGGAGAATCACTTGAACCCAGGAGGTGGAGATTGCGGTGAGCTGAGATGGCGCCGCTGAACTCTAGCCTGAGGGACAGAGTGTGACTCTGTCTCAAAACATAAAGTTAGAAATATGAGAGATTATGCTATATTTTGCTTGAGTCAGTGTTTGGGGAGGCCACAAATGGTGAGGGAGACTTCAATTATATCCACACTGTTTTACTCTACAAGTGGAGCAGTGGACATGGTTAAGTTTATGATACAAATTTTTATAAATCAACTATTTGAAAATTTGTTTAAAGGAGTGGCCTTTAATTGTCTAAATTGAACCATCAGGTATTGATTAAATACTTCATATAAAAGTATTTCCAATAATTTCTAAAGAGGCATTTAGGAATTACAGGGCTGTCTTCTTCCAGTGAATGGATTATTTTGTTTGAGACTTGATATCAGAGTATTGGCTACCAGCATGTGGAAAGGACGAGACTTGGAAAGCTTGAGGAATAGAGAGGTAGAGTGTTGGGAACCTTGATGGTTAAAAATAAAGAAGGAAGGGGCTGGAGATAAGAGTCCTACAGAAACATGAAAATATCAAAGAACCAGAATTAAAGAACCCCCACCCACACAAACGAGGTGGTTTTTAAAACTGCACTTCACTAGAGCAACAGAAGAGGGCACTCTTGAACTCAGAAATTAAGCAACCCCCCCTGAATCCCAGTGGAATGACCTTTTCTTGCTGGACAAGAAAATCTAACACACTTGATGGTAAACAAAGATAAACTTATCATACAAAATTTAGAAATTATAAATCCAAGTTTTTCAGCCAGCCAATGAAAACACTTTCCCCATCTCTACTAAAAAATATAAAAATTAGCTGAGCGTGGTAGCTCACACCTGTAATCCCAGCTGCTTGGGAGGCTGAAACACAAAAATCACTTGAACCCAGGAGGTGGAGGTTGCAGTGAGCCAAGATGGCACCACTGCACTCCAGCCTGGGTGACAGAGTGAGACTCCAACTCAAAGTAAATAAATAAATGAATAAATAAGTAATTACTATTACAGAGACAGGGTCTCACTCTGTTGCCCAAAGTGGTCTTAGGCTCTTTGCCTCAAGCATTCCTCCTGCCTCGGCCTCCCAAAGTGCTGGTATTACAGGCATGAGCCACTGTGCCTGGATTTATACCCGAAGTGCTGGTATTACGGGCATGAGCCACTGTGCCTGGATTTATTCCCAAAGTGCTGGTATTACGGGCATGAGCCACTGTGCCTGGATTTATTCCCGAAGTGCTGGTATTACGGGCATGAGCCACTGTGCCTGGATTTATTCCCGAAGTGCTGGTATTACGGGCATGAGCCACTGTGCCTGGATTTATTCCCGAAGTGCTGGTATTACGGGCATGAGCCACTGTGCCTGGATTTATTCCCGAAGTGCTGGTATTACGGGCATGAGCCACTGTGCCTGGATTTATTCCCGAAGTGCTGGTATTACGGGCATGAGCCACTGTGCCTGGATTTATTCCCGAAGTGCTGGTATTACGGGCATGAGCCACTGTGCCTGGATTTATACCCGAAGTGCTGGTATTACGGGCATGAGCCACTGTGCCTGGATTTATACCCGAAGTGCTGGTATTACGGGCATGAGCCACTGTGCCTGGATTTATACCCGTCTTTTAGACTCCCAGTTAATTCAAAAGAGAAGCAGAAAAAGGGAAAATAGAACATACCATTGGACAAATAGGAAAGAATTGTAAGACGGTAGATTCAGTTCCACCATGTCAATAATTGTACCACAGACAAATGCAGTATTAGAATATCTTCTCCTAAAAGGTCCTTCCAGCTCTAACGATAATAACAAAGTAAAGGCAACTTACTTTACAAATATAAAAGTCGGCCGGGCGCGGTGGCTCACGCCTCTAATCCCAGCACTTTGGGAGGCCGAGGCGGGAAGATCATGAGGTCAAGAGATCAAGACCATGATGAAACCCCTTCTCTACTAAAAAATACAAAAATTAGCTGGGCTGTAGTCCCAGCTACTCAGGAAGCTGAGGCAGGAGAATTGCTTGAACCTGGGAGGCGGAGGTTGCAGTGAGCCGAGATCGCGCTACTGCGCTCCAGCCTGGAGACACAGGGAGACTCTGTCTAAAAAAAAAAAAAAAAAAAAAAAAGAAAGAAAAGAAAAGAAAGAAATATAAAAGTCACCCTATTGGAGTGTAATCTTGAAAATTTATTATTAATTACCTACCAAGAAGTAAAGTCTTGACCGAACTTCAAATTCTAATACATTTATGTTATCTGTCCTTATAAATTGCTTAAATGGTGTTGAAAGTGAACGTACCTTCCAGCAAATCTTGAGTGTCTTGGCCCCATTTGGCAAAATGAGTGGAGCCACCTCCTGCCCAAGGAAAGCAAATCAGCTTAAAAATGGCCTCAGGCTTTTTGTATAAGCAGTTGAGAACTTTCTCATTCCTAGGGAGAAAATTAAAATATATTTGACATTATTTATATCAGTTAAGTTCCCCATATTGAATTCCTTGTGTTTTAATGGAAATCTTTATTATAAGAAACATGGCCGGGAGCGGTGGCTCACGCCTGTAATCCCAGCACTTTGGGAGGCTGAGGAGGGCAGAACACGAGGTCTGGAGTTCAAGACTACCCTTGCCAACATAGTGAAACCCCGTCTCTACTAAAAATACAAAAATTAGCCAGGCCTGGTGGTGGGCGCCTGTAATCCCAGCTACTCAAAAGGCTGAGGCAGAAGAATCACTTGAACCCAGGAAGCGAAGTGGAGACTGCAGTGTAGTGAGATCGTGCCACTGCACTCCAGCCTGGGTGACAGAGGGAGACTCTGTCTTTAAAAAAAAAAAGGGAGAGAAACGTATATTCAAATATAAAGTGATTGCAATTTTTTTACCATAAGAAAGGGCAAAAAAGGTTTTCATGGTGTGTGTTAACAATTTGAATATATAGACTTTTAGGGCTGGGCATAGTAGCTCATGCCTGTAATCCTAGGACTTTGGGAGGCCAAGGCAGGAGGATCACTTGCAATCAGAAGTTTCAACCCAATCTGGGCAACACAGTGAAACCTCATCTCTACAAAAAATTTAAAGATGAGGTTTGCAGGGTGGTACACACCTGTGGTCCCAGCTACCTGGGGGGACAGAGGCAGGAAGATCTCTGGAGCCTAGGAGTTTGAGGTTGCAGAGAGCTATGACTGCACCACTGATTCCAGCCTCACTGACAGAGTGGCATCTTGTCTCATTTTTAAATTAAAGAAATAAATTTGTAGGGATGTAGGTGAAATAGTCAAATACCTATACATAATGTTCAGTAAGTGCATTTTATATGCACACTTAAAGTTACATAAATGTGAATTTAGAAACTGTCTTTTTCACAATTTGGAGAATAATTTTATCCAAACAGTTCATAGGCAGCTTTGATCTTGGTATCTTCATGATCACCAGAGCCACTGTTCAAGTGTTTTATGGAGCATATAATTTTGACTTCCTTCTGCATGTTTGTAAAGAGTGGTTTTTAAATTTATTAGAGGTCGGGCTCAGTGGCTCATGCCTGTAAGTCCAGCCCTTTGGGAGGCCAAGGCAGGCAGATCACTTGAGGTCAGGAGTCTGAGACCAGCCTGGCCAACATGACAAAACTGTGTCTCTACTAATAATATAAAAATTAGTTGGGTGTGGCGGTGGATACCTGTAATCTGAGCTACTCAGGAGGCTGAGGCAGGAGGATTACTTGAACCCAGGAGGCGAAGGTTGCAGTGAGCCGAGATCACCCCACGGGTCTCCACCCTGGGCAACAGAGTGAAACTCTGTCTCAAAACAAACAAACAGATCTACTTATAATGTCACCGGAATTTTATCCCAGGATTCAAGTATCCAATCAGGTGATCTTAGGAAAAGTTCTTTTTAAAAAAGTCAGTCTATTTGTATACATTTGTCCTCGCCACCATTTAAATGCTTTCTATAAAGTTTCCAAATTGATCATTAAGTTCCTTACAAAGATGTATAATATTCCCGAATGTGAGGTTCTAAACCCTAATATAATGATGAAATATTCTATACCCCATCTCTCATTTTCTCTATAAGCATCTAAAGTTGATCTCTATAAGCATCTAAAACTGACACCAGCTGAGATCAGTTGAGGTTAACTCATGTTCGGTAAAGAGGATTTTGTTCTTCATAACAAAATAATTGAGAACACTCATAAAATGAGAGATTTTATATGAACCTAGGCACAGATGAAAACTTTTTGGGAAGGGAGATAATTTCTGAACATAAACTCCCTGAGTTTTACCTGGGCACTTATGTTAATAATTACTAGTTTAAAGAAAAAGGCAAAAAGTAATTTTTATTTTTTTGGGACGGAGTCTCACTCCGTCACCTATGCTGGAGTGCAGTGGCACGATCTCAGCTCACTGCAACCTCCTGGGTTCAATTGATTCTTCTGCTTCAGCCTCCTGAGTAGCTGGCATATAGTCATGCACTGCCACATTCAGCTAATTTTTTATTTTTTAGTAGAGATGGGTTTTCACCATGTTGGCTAGGCTGGTCTTGAATTCCTGACCTCAAGTGATCTCTCCGCCTTGGCCTCCCAAAATGCTGGGATTATAGGTGTGAGCCACTGTGCCCAGCTAAAAAAGACTAATATGTAATATTTCTCTTTGAAGAATAACATTGTACTTGATGCTGTGTTCCCACAAACCAACTCATCTTCGACAAACTCATTGATAATAGAGCAGTCCTAAATGAGCATTTCATGTGTATCTATTATCTTCTTGAAAAATGATAGAATCACTTATTTGAGGAGTGCAAAAGCCCTCAGTAGAGCTTGATAAGAACTACAGAGCAAATGGACAACTTTTCTGAACTTCATTTTTTTGAAAAGTCTAGGACTGGATACAGTGGCTCATGCCTGTAATCTCAGCACTTTGGGAGGCTGAGGCAAGTGGATCACTTGAGGTCAGGAGTGACCTCAGCACGGCAAAACCCTGTCTCTACTAAAAATACAAAAATTAGGTGGGTGTGGTGGTGTGCTCCTGTAATCCCAGCTACTTGGGAGGCTGAGGCAGGAGAATTGCCTGAACCAGGGAAGTGAAGGTTGCAGCGAGCTAGGATTGTGCCACTGCATTCTGGCCTGGGCCACAGAGTGAGATTCTGTCTCAAAAAAAACACGATGGTTATGTGGATGTGGTCTGTCTCTCAGAAAACATCTTTTTCTGCTGTACTCACCTATTTTCAGACTGCAGTTGACCACAGGTACCTGAAAAAGGGAAGCTGCCATGGTTTGTGCTAGCGCTAGCAGCAATGGCCACCAAATTCCTCTTCCATGAGAAGCTCCCCTGCTTATGTTTTTTTTTCTTTTTGAGACAGAATCTTGCGCTGTCATGCAGACTGGAATGCAGTGGTGCAATCTCATCTCACTGCAACCTTCACCTCCTGGGTTCCTGCGGTTCTCCTGCCTCAGCCTCCCGAATAGCTGGGATTACAGGCGTGTGCCACCATGCCTGGCTGATTCTTGGTATTTTTAGTAGAGACAGGGTTTTGCCATTTTGGCCAGGCTGGTCTTGAACTCCTAACCCCAGGTGGTTCACTTGACTCAGACTCCAAAAGTACTGGGATTACAGGTGTGAGCCACTGCGCCTGGTGGAGAAGCCTCTTTCAAACTAAAAAGGGAGCCTTACAAAGGCAGAATCTTGGAGCTTCTCCAGAATCTGGGAGAGGGGAAGAGCCCGGTGGTACAAGGGGTGGCCTACCTGGTTTTCCCAGCTTGGTCTCCTTTCTCCATGCTGTGAGGTGAGAGTGCAAGATTGCTGGTCTCTTCGGTATGTTCCATGCTCTGCAGCACTCAGTTCCCCTTGAGATGTAAAACCTCCGCTCAGCCTTGCATACACAGAAAAGGGAGTAAATAGATTTCGTGTTAAATGCACTGACTCTTATTCACTGCTCCAACCTCTGTTAAAAATGAGGAAGTTTATGTAATCCCAGCACTTTGGGAGGCCGAGGCGGGTGGATCACGAGGTCGAGAGACGAGATTGAGACCATCCTGGTCAACATGGTGAAACCCCGTCTCTACTAAAAATACAAAAAATTAGCTGGGCACGGTGGCGCGTGCCTGTAATGCCAGCTACTCGGGAGGCTGAGGCAGAAGAATTGCCTGAACCCAGGAGGCGGAGGTTGCGGTGAGCCGAGATTGCGCCATTGCACTCCAGCCTGGGTAACAAGAGCGAAACTCCATCTCAAAAAAAAAAATGAGGAAGTTTAGACAAAAAGGAAGGAGAACACAGAGGAGAACAAAGACACAGTGGCGATAACAAAGGAGAAGAAATGGTGGGATTACAGGTTGTGTTAGAAGCAATGCAACCGAGGTAATTCAGATAAGGAGCCACCCCTCTCCCCATTCATCTGCAGTTAGCAGATAGTGCTTCCATTAACAGGACTTCCCATGTATATACAGAAAAAACAAAGATGCAACATTTCCAGACTTAAGCCATGAAACAACCCTGCTCCTAAAAGAGCAGAAAACATTCCACAGAAATTCCACTAGAAAATTAGGATAAGGGTACAGGATGTTTGCTTTGGCAACAGACATGTCTTAGCTTTCTACATGTTTATAAAGTTGTCTTCTTTTAAATCTCAAGGAAGTGGCTGGACATGGTGGTTCCTCCTAGTACTTGACGTCAGGAATTCCAGACCAGCCTGGTCAACATGGTGAAACCCCCATCTCTACTAAAAATACAGACATTAGCCAGACACGTGGTGTATGCCTATGATCCCAGCTACTCGGGAAGCTGAGGCAGGAGAATAGCTTAAACCCAGAGACAGGTTGCAGTGAGCCGGTATGGCGCCACTGCACTCCAGCCTAGGTGACAAAGTGAGACTCCATCTCAAAAAATAAAATAAATCTCCAGAAAAGGGATTCTAACAAAGTCTTCACTGCTGTGCCAAACTTACCATTTTGCAAGTTTCAAATATTCAGAAAACAGAAGAAAAATGACTACTAGAAGATCTGTCATTTATTTATTTATGCATTCATTCATTCATTTATTGAGATGGGGTCTCACTCTGTTGCCTAGGCTGGAGGGTAGTGGCTCAGTCTTGGCTCACTGCAACCTCTACCTCCCAGGTTCAAGTGATTCTCCTGCCTCAAGTAGCTGGGATTTTAGGTGCCTGCCACCACATCCAGCTGATTTTTGTATTTTTAGTAGAGACAGGGTTTCACCATGTTGGCCAGAATGGTCTCAAACTCCTGATCCCAAGTGATCCATCCACATCAGCCTCCCAAAGTGCTGGAATTACAGGCATGAGCCACTGCACCTGGCCCACATCTGTCATTTATAAATGTCTTTATCTTATTTCTTAGGAGCTCCTTGGATCCCAAGTATTCATTGTAAGGCCACAGTTGACTTTGCAGGCTCAGTTGTGACTCTAAGCGCAGTTCCAGGGAGCCCAGGTGAATTCCTCAGCCTACAGTTTTATCATGCAGTACAGGGCATTTGTAGGAACAGAAAGGTGTGCCTAAGTAGAGGAAGAAAGTTTACAGAGTACAGAGGGTGGAGAGCCCATCTTCTTGTTTCTTAGAGCCTTTTCTTAGTAATTCTGGGCCAGAGCCATCTGAATTCTCTGAGCCAACTCTCAGAGAAAAATCACCTGAAAAATTCACTGACTTTACATGGAAATAGTCCCTTCTTAGGTAATGATATGAAAGGCAGAAAAAGACAGAAACTTCTTCCAAGGAAACTAGGCAGTCAGAGGTGGGATACACATTTTTGGTGTTGATAACTGAAAGTTGTTATGGAGCATTACAAAGTTTTTATAAAATTGGGTTGAATTCCTCCAACTCTTTCTTTTCCTTTTTTTTTTTTTTTTTGAGACGAAGTATTGCTCTGTTGCCAGGCTGGAGTGCAATGGTGCGATCTCAGCTCACAGCAACCACCGCCTCCTGGGTTCAAGTGATTCTCCTGCCTCAGCTTCCCAAGTAGCTGGACTATAGGTGCATGCCACCATGCCAAGCTAATTTTTTTTTGGTATTTTTAATAGAGATAGAATTTCACCATGTTGGCCAGGATGGTATCAATCTCTTGACCTCGTGATCCTCCTCAGCCTTCCAAAGTGCTGGGATTACAGGTGTGAGTCAGCGTGCCTGGCATACTCTTCCAACTCTTTCTAAATGAAGTAGATAAAAACCTTGTTTTGTGTTTTTTGACTTGGCATAGCCTATGATTACTTATACCTGGGAGGATTAAACATTTAACCACTGTCCAAGTTTACTCAAGAAATATTTTCTGAGTTAAGTAAAATGTCATATTTTTCTGAGACGAAGTCTTACTCTGTCACCCAGGCTGGAGTGCAGTGGTACATTTTCAGCTCACTGCAACCTCTACCTCCTGGGTTCAAGCAGTTCTCCTGCCTCAGCCTCCTGAGTAGCTAGGATTACAGGCATGTGCCACCATGCCCAGCTAATATTTTTTGTATTTTTAGTAGAGATGGGGTTTCACCATGTTGGCCAGGCTGGTCTTGAACTCCTGACCTTGTGATCTGCCCACCTTGGCCTCCCCAAGTGCTGGGATTACAGGTGTGAGCCACCATGCCCGAGCGGGTTTTGTTTTCAAAACTGGACGGATCCTCTGGTATAAATAAGTGATCTGTCCTCAAGGTTAAACCACTAGATGCTTTCATTTGATTGAAGTACCAGACAAGAGAAGGGCAAGAGTGGGACAGAGAAAATATTCCAAAGATAATGGCTTAGATTTTTGTGGAACTGATGCATGGTACTAGTTCAAAGATAAGACATGCCCAGCAAATGTCAGGTAGAATAGATCACCAAAAAAAAGCAATCTGTATAGAGATGCAGCACAATGAAACTGCAAAACAGAGAAATAAAGACAAAGGAAAACCATTAAAAGGAGCCAGGAGGTGAGGAGAGCTGGGCATGGACTCACAGCGATGTAAAAAGATGGAAGAGAATAGAATGGAATCTTCAAGCACAAAGAGGCAAGAACTGCCAACTTAGAATTCTATACCCAGGAAAAACAGCTTTTAAGGAACAGAGCAAAATAAAGACATTTTCAGACAAGCAAAAACTAAGTGTTATCACCAGGAGACACTTTTCAAAGAAATGTGAAAGGATATGCTTTGAGCAGAAAGTAAATAATCCCAGATAGAAGATATGAGATGCAAGGAGGAATGAAAAACAAAGACAGTGATACATAGGTGAGCAAATATAAATGAACATTGATTACATAAAATAGTAATTGTAATGTCTAGTGGGCCTTAAAATATATACGAAATTGAAATACCAGGCAAAAATAATGTCAAAATCAGGAACGGGCAAAGAAAGATCCTTACATTAACTATGAGGTTTTACTTAATTTAGATTGTGTAAATATGCATGCCTTAATTTCCTTGGCTAGCCCTACGAACAGAGACAGAGCGAAAATCATCCAAACTGGAAGAGACAAATGTTTACTTAATCAAAAAGAGAACTGAGGAAAGGAAAGGGAAACAAACATAGGTAAAGCTAAAAAAAAGTACAGTACAAGGTGACAGATTAAATCCCACGTCAGGGATTATATATTAACAGACTTAATTCTCTAGTTACAAAGCAATATTGACATATTAGTTTAAAAAAATCCAATTATAGGTTGCGCCTATGAGACACATCTGTGAAAGTATTACTCTATGATTTTTTGATAATTTAAAATATAAAATACTCACTTGCCAGGCTTTGAGATGAACTCTGAGCAAACAACCTGAAGGAGAGAGGTTCACGGAAAATGAGGCCACCTGAGAACATTATGAACAAACAGTAAGAGGATAACAACGAGCAGGAAGAACAGCGTGGGCTGAGGCCAGAAGAGAGACAATGCACCATCTATTAGGAAAATGAAAGAAGTTACATATAACTGGAAGGCAGAATGTGGGAGAGCAAGTGATAAAAGAAGAAATGAGACAATAGGAGGCAGATTGCCAGTGACTTTATAAGCAAGCAATTTTAAGAAGTTTGGACTTGATCTTAAGAAAAGAATCTGGTGGGGCTTGGTGGCTCATGCTTGTAATCCCAGTACTTTGGGAGGCAGAAGTCAGCGGACCACCTGAGTTCAGGAGTTCGAGACCATCCTGGCCAACATGGTGAAACCCCACCTCTACTAAAAATACAAAAATGAGCTTGGTTTGGTGATGCTTACCTGTAATGCCAGCTACTCGAGAGGCTGAGGCAGGAGAATCGCTTGAATCCAGGAGGTGGTTTGCAGTGAGCCAAGATTGTACCACTGCACTCTAGCATGGGCAACAGAGTGAAACTCTGTCTCAAAAAAAAAAAAAAAAAGGGGGGGGTGTGGAATGCTTCTAAGAGATCAAGGAAGACAAGAACTGAGAGTGTCCTTTCGTGCTGATGATAATGGGATAATTCTAACCCACTCTAAAGGGAAGCTTCAGGGACTTCTCTTTGCCCGTGGAAAAAGCACCAGTAGCCTGGGAACCTCTCTGGGGTTTGCTGCTGAGATTGGGCTGTACCCACTCTAGTCAACAGGGAATCTGGGCTGAGCACCAACGTTGTTCACTGGCATCAACAGAGAAGCCTTAGGAACCTCATGAGAGTTGAGCGAGCTGGCCAGGAATACTCTGATGGTTGAGGAAGGAACACAGTGTTTAAGAGGGAGGCAGGAATGAAGAAAATTAAGAAGAAAGGGATGACTTTGAGACCATCCCTTTGAGATGGAGCAGAGTCCTGGAGTAGAAAGAGGGTTTTTGTAATCATCACTGATTTTCTGCCCTGCTAGATCGTAAGCTCTTTGAGCGTGGAGGCTTTGGTGGTTTTGTTCACAATTGCATCCTCCTTGCTTCCTGCCATGCAGGAATAAACAATGAACTCCTACCATGCAAGAAAGAACAAGGAATTCCTATCACACTGGAATGAACAATGAATAAATGAATAGGAGCAGAAGATGGGGTAGTGGTTATCACTAGAAAGGCATAGTGAAACTCGTTCATCTAGGATCGAAGGAAGGGAAGAAAGGAAGGAATGATGCTATGGAGATATTTTGAGGCTGAAGCAGAGGTTAGAGTTTAGACAGATGGCCTCTTTCCCCAGAAATGTAAGAGAGAACATTGGGCAATTATTGGATGACTGGTGATTAAGAGGAAGTTGGAATGGTCAATAGTGGGAGCAACTGGAAAGGCTAAATCTGCAGTTGCCAATAGCTGAGCCTGAAATCAGCATCTTTTACCGCTGGTAATCAGCCAGCTTTCCTGATCTGTAGCAACGAGCATTCGCTCAGAAACAAAAAGCGGACCTGGGTTGGCCCAGGCAATGAACTGGCAGTTTGGAGGGATAGAAACCAAAGGGAAAAGAGAATTGACGGTGCCCCATAACCAGAAAGGATGTAATGGGATTATGGCTGGGGAGTGACAAGGAGACAGCAAGAGAGGGCTCCTTTTTCTGAGGAAAAAGAGGCCCCAAACTGGAAGTTGTGTTGGGGATAAGAGTAAGTCCACAGGAGAGAAGGAATGGGGCATGGGAAAGATGTTTGTGGCTGCAGTGGAAAGGTGGATTCAAAGTCTGAGTCTTTAGGGGGTGAGACAACTCTGAAAAATGACCCAAGCATGGGCTCTTGTGGGGATTGTGAAGTTCAGGGGTTCAGAAGCAAAGTGAGCTAAAGATGGCAGGAAATGTACGTTCCTTGGCACAGGGAAGTGAGCTAAAGATGGCAGGAAATGTACATTTCTTTGGTTCCTCATGAGACAGGGATCGATTTTTCATAACAAATAATCCTAAGTGATGACCTTCTTTGTAGGGGATACAGTGATTTCTCCCCGTGGTACCTTGTTTTCCAGACTGATAACTGCACAGTCTTGCTGTTGGCCAGCTCCTGAAATGTTGCCTTTTTCTGGGGGACTGTTTGCCCAAACACACACAGGCCTCTTTCCAGCAGCAGCTGCCCGTAAGCTTACAGTGAGTGAAGATACAGCCGTGGGAGGAGGGTGCTAGTTCAGCATCTCATAAGTCACGTACAAATGCAATCTTCTCTCTCTTTTTTTTTTCTTTTTGAGATGAAGTTTCACTCTTACTGCCTAGGCTGGAGTGCAGTGGCATAATCTCAGCTCACTGCAACCTCTGCCTCCCAGGTTCAAGCACTTCTCTTGCCTCAGCCTCCCAAGTAGCTGGGATTACAGATATGCATCACCACAACTGGCTAATTTCGTATTTTTTAGTAGAGACGAGGTTTCACCATGTTGGCCAGGCTGGTCTAGACCTCAGGTGATCTACTCACCTCAGCCTCCCAAAGCGCTAGGATTACAGGCATGAGCCACTGTTCCCAGCCACAAATGCAATCTTCTAGGGAGATTTTTAACTCCAGCTTTTCTTTTCTTGCTCTCTCTCTCTCTCTTTTTTTTTTTTTTTGAGACAAATTCTTGCTCTGTCACCTAGGATGGGGTGCAATGGTGCAATCTTGGCTCACTACAACCTCTGCCTCCCAGGTTCAAGTGATTCTCCTGCCTCAGTCTCCTGAGTAGCTGGGATTATAGGCACCCGCCACCATACTCGGTAGAGATAGGTTTCACTGTGTTGGCCAGGCTACTCTTGATCTCTTAACCTTGTGATCCACCCACATTGGCCTCCCAAAGTGCTGGGATTACAGGTGTGAGCCACTGCACCCAGCCTAAACTCCAGCTTTTCTATGAGCTGCAATTCCTTTTTTATTTTTATTTTTTAAAGAGAGAGACAGAGTCTTGCTCTGTCACCCAGACTGGAGTGCAGGGGTGCTTTTACAGGTCACGGCAGCAGCTTCAATTTCCCAAGCTCAAGCAATCCTCCTACCTCAGCCTCCCAAGTAACTAGGAGTAGAGGTGCACACCATAACGACTGCCTAATTTTAAGTTTCTTTGTGGAGATGGGGGTCTCTCTATATTGCTCAGGCTGGTATCGAATTCCTGACCTCAAGCAGTTCTCCTGCCTTAGCTTCCCAAAGTGCTAGTATTACGAGTGTGAACCACTGCGCCCAGCCTGAGGTGCAATTCCCAGTCAAGATGCTGAACATATTTGCAAGAATTCAAGGCAGTACTGGTACTAATGCCCCAAAGACTGATCCGTGCTCTCCCGCATGCCCTCTCAGTGAGTTTTAACACATCCCTGCAATTTTCTCTGAAATGTCTCTGTGTTAGTCCAGTTTCATGCTACTAATAAAGACATACCTGAGATTGGGTAATTTATGCCAGAAAAGAGTTTCATGGGCTTCCAACTCACGTGGCTGACGAGGCAAGGAGGACCAAGTCACGTCTTACATGGATGGCAGCAGGCAAACTGAGAGTTTGTGCAGGGCATCTCCCATTTTTAAAACCATCCGATCTCATGAGACTCATTCACTATTACAACAGTAGTGCAGGAAAGACTCGCCCCCATGATTCTACCACCTCTCACCAGGCTTCTCCCACAACAACGTGAGAATTGTGGGAGTTACAATTACAAGATGAGATTTGGGTGGAGACACAGTATCATTCCACCCAGGCCCCTCCCAGATCTCATGTCCTTACATTTTAAAACCAGTCCCCCAAAGTTTTAACTCATTTCAGCATTAACTCAAAAGTCTGCAATCTCATCTGAGACAAGGCAAATCCCTTCTGCCTATCAGCCTGTAAAACCAAAAGCAAGCTAGTTGTTTCCTAGATACAGTGGGGGTCCAGGCATTGGGTAAATACAGACATTCCAAATGGGAGAAATTGGCCAAAACAAAGGGGCTACAGACACCATGCAAGTCAAAATCCAACAGGGCAGTCAAATCTTAAAGCCCTTAAACGACCTCCTCTGATTCCATTTCTTGTGTCTGGATCACACTGATTCAAGATGTGTGAGTTTCATGCAGAGTTTCATGCAGTCTCCAACCCCACTCAGGTTGCCCAAGACTCATAAGCACCTGCACTCTACCCTGAGGGCTGGGGCAGGGCTTCTCCTGGTTCATCCTGGCAGTGTTCCTGGCCTGTGTTTCTTTGCTTTTGATGGTACAGAGGACAGCACTTGGCTATTCTTATTTCTGGCTGAAGTTGCTGCCAGTTATATAAAGAACAGGGCTTACATTGATGAGGCTCCTACCCCTATACATAGAGAATTCAGGCTAAGTTCTACCAGTGATTTAAGAGTTCCTATACTATTCCTCCGTCCCATTCCACTCTGCTGCCTGTGGATAGCTCACAAGAAATGGGTCATGGTTCATCCAGGAAGCCATCCAGCCATGAGTTAGGCCCCTGATGTGCCCGGCCTCCATGGTTACAAATAGTAATTTACACTTCTTATACTTCCAGCCTGGACAACAAGAGTGAAATTCTGTCTCAACAAAACAAAACAAAACCCAACACACACACACACACACACACACACACACACACACACACACACGCACATGCACAAAAACCACTTCTGGCTCTTTTTAGTTCGACACTCTGTGACACTTTCTTTCTTTCTTTTTTTGAGGTGGAGTTTCACTCTTGTGGCCCAGGCTGGAGTGCAGTGGTGAGATCTCAGCTCACTGCAATCGCTGCCTCCTGGGTTCAAGCGATTCTCCCACCTCAGCCTCCTGGGTAGCTGGGATTACAGGCACCTGCCACCACACTCAGCTAATTTTTTGTATTTTTAGTAGAGATGGGGTTTTACCATGTTGGGCAGCCTGGTCTCAAACTCCTGACCTCAGGTGATCCACCCGCCTCGGCCTCCTAAAATGCTGGGATTACAGGCGTGAGCCACTGAGCCTGCCCATTTGGTCACTTTCTAAGGTGGAAATGGCGCACCATTTGCCCTTGCTCCCCTTTCTCCCCGAGGGCCAGGTCTATCTCTGTGCTTTCTCATGGGGTCCCAATGCAGTGCCCCAAGAAGAAAGCATAAAATGCTTTTGACTGGGGAGAAAACTAGGAGCACAGGAGGTAGTGCTTGATACCGGTTGGGTATTTGTCCCCACCCAAATCTCCTGTTGAAATGTAATCCGCGATGCTGGAGGTGGGGCCTGGTGGGAGGAGTTTGGGCCATGAGGGCAGATCCCTCATGGTTGGGTGCTATCTTAGTGATGGTGAGTTGTCATGAGATCTGGTCATTTGAAAGCTATGGCACCTCCCAATCCAACTTTCTCTCTTGCTCCTGCTTTTGCCATGGGACACGCCTGCTCCTACTTCACCTTCTGCCACGAGTAAAGGCTTCCTGAGGCCTCCCTAGAAGCAGATGCTAGAGCTTCTCTTTCTGTACAGGCTGCAGAACCAGGAGCCAATTAAGCATCTTTGCTTATAAATTACCCAGTCACAGGCATTTCTTTATAGCAAAGCAAGAACAGCCAAATACAGTGCTATTTTGCACCAGGCTCGGGATTTGGAAGTCATGCTCTGAATACGCCAGGCCTTCCCTGGTCCGTGGCTTCCTTTTCTCTAACTTTGCTTCTCTCTGCTTCTAAAACGGCCCTCCCCACTCACGACTGGCTTCTCTGCCAGCAGACTCCTATTTCTGGGAGTTCAGTAAACAACCCCAGCCTTTTAACTCTCAGCATTTCACTTTTAGAAAACTGGCTACCCTATAGTCTTATGCTTTTTTATGGGCTGTTCAAGATACCCTCTGATTTTGGCAGAGACCATAGTGGAACCCAGTGTGAGCTCCCAAGACCATAACTTATTAGTCTATCACGGAGCACACTTGCAAGAACAAAGTGGTGGGGCCATTCCAGCCTC